CAGTGGACCAAGCTGCGAGACCGCCTTCCGGAAATTCATCCAAACGTGAAGGAACGACGGAGTCATTGGAGACTGATGATTCAATGTCCAACACCTTGAACCCCTCGTTGTCCGAGTCTTGGGTAGTTGGAGGTTCCGTAGAAAGCATTTGAGGTTTGGTTTCGACCGCCATCCGTGGACTGAGACAGGTGACACCGTTGTACAGGGCCATACCCACACCGCGATTACGCAGTACATTTAAGTATAAGTGAATTTTCGTACTCACACGTCTATTCAAAGCTTTACAGCAAGAACACCTGAAGAAGGTGCGACGTCATCATGGCCAAACCAATAACCAAGAAAAAACCCACAATAGCCCATCGGCAGATGACAGCGCAATATCATGATTCGTAGATGGACGCATGATAATTCAACAGCGATAACAAGGACGGGAGCTTCCACAAGGAGACAGAAAACTTCATGACCAGTCTCCTGCGTTGCTAGTTTTGCGCTAACGGAGATTAATCTTGCACAATCCCAAGCTGCCTCGGAAGTCGAGCATAATATGTTTTTGTAAGTTGATATACATATAGCCCCATTATACATGTCCCGCTCCATCGGGGCACTTGAGCTATTTTGCAAACACTTGTCCACTAACCCCGACTTGCATGGTCTATGATCTGACTCTGGGAACGAACGATTAGGAAGGCCTTGAGGAACGGTGATACTATTCCGTGGAAAACATGGTTCACATACCGTACGTATTTATCACGCCATGGAGTTTCGAACGCTAAATACAATGAGCATTAAGAATATGGCTTCCTGCAATGTGCATGTGAACTACCGATTCCCCGGATCAAAAGATGTCTTGACACTCCACAGGATGCATCAGATAAAGCTGGAATTCATGGGTTCTAGATTCGGAGATAATTAACAAGCCTGGTAAGATTGCTTTGTTTGCTACAACATACTAAATTAATAAATGCGCTCTTGCACCGCGCTGGGCTGGCGCTTGCTGGACGAGTCGGGGAAAGTCGGCAAGTGGTGCGCCGAGCATCGCGACGATTGTATAGTTGGGTTCTCTGTCACAACTCGAGCCTACCCTGGTTCTGTTTCAACACATCGATATCCCACCATTAATCTGCAACATTGTATCGCTCCCAGCTCTGTTAATGGTCACTTTTCTAGTATGCACGCCGTTAGTTTTCGTGCCACCAGGCGACGACCCAGCTGAGCCTACGGCACGTAAGAGGCCTTATCATCGACGAGGATGTCGAGAAGTGAGTCTGGAAGAATGCCGTTGAAATTTTTTGAATGAAACAGTACGTCACGTCTTCATTCGTGATACAGCCAATCAGGGTAGACCTAGCACAATTTGAACACATGCTTTCTGGGCTAAATAAACAACCTTCTCACCCAGCTCTAAATGGATTAATGTCGAGCGTGAACAATGAGTGGGGCGGATGTACAATAGTCAGTACGATGCTGACTGATGGGCGATGGGCCAGGACGGGGGCTCGAAACATGTAAAGAGAGATCCGGGCTTGGAATTGATGTGTCCTGCAACTCGGGATACATGGTGGTAACTTGAAGGTGAGGATGATGAAATACTGTCCTAACCGTTGTCCACAACCGCATGGTAGACAGTACTAGACAGTATTAGTACTTGACTCGGATATCTCACTGAGGCTCTGAACTTGTTGAACAGGCTGCAGAGAATTAAAACTCCGCAGCGTTAACTGAGACTTTGCCACTACCGTGACCGTGTGCTCGTACTGTCAGTGACTTACTATCATTCGACGGGAAATGCACAATTTACACTTATTGCTGAATAGCAACACAACAACAACACATATTCGTATCGGATCTACTGTAGTGTATACTTTAGGTCTCTGTGCATTAGGCCCAACAAGAATTTTTTAATTTTGTTGCGAGCTTGTTGCAGCGGCAGCACTGGAAGTTGAGGTGTCGAAAACACAATAGAAATGCACACTAACTAACGTGCAAAGCGAATGAAAGTCCAGTGTTCCGCACCGTTCATAACTTCAAGCTTCAATAACGAGCTCCAAATCAAACTTCATTGAGGGAATAATATCTAGTAATAAACACTAGGATGTGCTGAGTGATCATTATTTGCTGAAACTCTATTTAATGGTGCAGGAAGGCCATGCAGGGGGTAAGGCATGTATCTGCCAGTGGACGGCCCAGCATGTAGCTGTGGTGGGAGGTCTTGTGAAGTTCGAAGAGGACGAGCCCCTTCTGGGGCTGGCACTGGCTGCATGAATCGTGTCTCGCGACCTGGATAATGGAGTGGGTATGCAGGTGGTGGATTAAATGAGGGGAAGGGTAAAGGACCGTTCATTTGCTGTGCCGCTTGACTCGAGAAGGGAGCGCCGTTACTATGCATAGCTATTCAGACATTATCAGCAACAAAATAAACATGGAAGTAAGTGAAATACAACCATGACTGATGCTTGGAACGAGCTGCTGAGATGGTGTAGCTTGAATGGGAGCAGTATGGTCAATTCTTGGTCGACTGTCCTTGTAATGTAACAATGTCCTCTGGTGTCTTCAAAGGAACAGATGCTGATATGTGCCGATTCTGCCGAATGCAAAGAAAGCGGAGACTCAACCAAGCCGAGAGTGTGATTTCCCAATCTAGCCTGACCGTCACGCTTTGCTCATGAATCGCGAATAGCATGCTGTGGTGGTGTCCTATTGACATAGAAACACCTGGAGTAGATTTAGGATGGTGCATTTCACATATTTTGAACTTTCTGTGTTGATAGGTTAATGGGATCTGGGTGGATCTTGGATTTAGTGTCCAAAAATCACTCATTTTGGGCACACTCGCACAATGTTTCATCTCGGGAAGGCTTCACAGCACCGATTTTAAAATTTTGAATTGGTAGTATTATTGAATGTATGCTAATAATTGTCCACCAGCTGTTCCGAATGAAATATATGTAGAGTGGTGAGCTCTGGAGTGCATTGTGCATTATCCATCGATTGTGCATTCCGAATCAGGTGATAGTATGCCAGTACTGATACACGGTAGCAGAAAGAATCCACTTCATAGAAAACCCAGAAGCCGGGTGTCTGACATATCTACGAGTGACTGATACATGGGTACTTGAAGGTATGTGAGAATGTTCGAGATCCCCAGATTTCTGACATGTTCACGGCTCGCTAATAGTCGGAGCACCGTGTTGACGGCGGAGAAGATGTTCTCAAATTTTGTGTAACACGTCTTCTAGATTGTTCATACTAGTGGCTGGGTTTATTGAATTGCTGTGTGCTGGTGCGTACGTTGAACGGTGATTGCTCATATGTACTTCACTGCTACCAAGGAAATTTGGAGCTATTGAAAGAATTTGTCACGAGTAACAGGGATGGTAGCCAGACTCTTTCCGCAGGTCGCATCGGTTAACAGGATCACACGCTCATGCCTGAAATGCTGGTTATCGGACCTACAGTTGCATGCCTTGTTCAATGTTTTGATCGTGACATCCTGCAGCTCAGGCGAACAACACCCTTCAGTAAATATATCCGGCGTCTCGTCACACCTTACAAGCTTATACACGGCTCCGATGCCAGCATTCAGATATTATCCCACTATCACCAGATACAAGAGCAATCGAGTGGAAGAAGCTAGGCAAAGCACCGCAGATTTCAAGAATGGCTCACTGTCTGGGCGAGATGAAGACTATAATGGTTGTTAGATTTTTTTAAACAAAATCCGTGGTTATGGTCTGCTGAGACCAAGCACTACGGTCCACACTTCTCGCTAAATCGTTGACCCCGAAGGTTTTGCATAAACAGCGTCTAAATTTCCATTTGTGTCCCAATTCCGACAGCCTTGATTTTCGCAGCTATCACAAGCATTTGGACAGAGAGCAGCAAAATGATTCTGAAGCTTCGAGAAGTGTCTTTGCAATGCTTCTCTCACTTCGCAATGACTAATTTCGATGAGCTAGACCCAACCTCGGTGCATATCCTCTCAGGCGGCGGTTCAATTTTTTCTAGCGCTGCGATAAGGCGTCGCTAAATTCCACTAGCTGAAAATCGCAGGACCGGCCACCCCCAGTCCCTTGGTAGCTGCAGATCGATCACCCAGCCTCCCGCCGAGGTCGATGATAGGGTAAATTTTGTGTTCCGATAATGGTATTCTTATGACCCGCTTCGTCGCCCCTTCACCCATTTGTCCCCTTTTTCGGTGCAAGGTTAGGTCAGCTTTGGTTTCAATACGTTTCCCGAACTATATCCCGCTACGGTGAATACATCATTTACGACTGAATCTGGTTCTCATATCTGTAGCAACAGGACGATATCAGGCTGATTTTGGCTGATGGTATTTGCTACCTTGCACGATACCGTAGGTCTAGCAAATTGCAATAGCATTGAACCAACGTGCATTACTGGCGTCATGATCTGGTGTCATGGCGATGCTGACTCGCCTCCGCTATCGAAAGTTCGGTTTTTTATCTCAGGTATTCCTAGCTAGCCAGTTGGTCCTCTCAGTTTGATCTGTTCTAATCATTGTCTGCCCTGCAGTCTGTAGTCAGTAAAGGAATATGCTTCGGTATTAGACAATTCAAGTCGCATCCTGATAGACTTCATTTCGTGTCCTTGAACAACTCAAAATGTGCGTTTTAATGGGACCAGCGGTAAGACATGCTCTGCAAGCCCCTCGATTTGAAGTGGCTTAGAATGATGCAGCTTCGAAGTATATATGCCTGGCAGTTCCATGATTGGATTTGATTGTTTTCTCGCGTCCGTCAAGGACAATCTTAACTCGGATACTTTCTCCTTGGATACCGTTCGCAACTTCAAGGTCAGTTTCGACATTAAGAAGGTTACCATCACATTCATCCGCTGTGCGCAGTTTCGACGAGTATGTGACCAACTCCTATCTTCTGGAAATTCAATCCGCGTATGGCATTCGATGAACCGTATACAAGGATCCTTTACTGCTGTGAATGGTGCCTAGATTGCGTGATTCAAATTGGGTCTTCGCCATCTTACGGAACAAACCAAACGGGGAAATGCGACACAACCAGCAAATTCGTGACGTTCGCAACAAGATATGGGCCCGCAGAACGGTGGTCAAAACTGCATGGATTGGAGAACAGTGACATTCTCCATATGGTATACTCAGGTGGTTGTAGTGAGATGTGATTTTGATCGCACACCAAACTTGTCTTCCTGAATCCCACGCAAGCGTACTCGGATTAGAGTTATAATCACCTCCGAGTAGCGTGATGTAGATAGATGGCGAGCCGTTGAGCAGGGTTGTGGACTTCCAGAGACGCCGAGCAAAGCCATCGGACCGGTTTTCAGTCGAGGGCTCAGGAGGGAGATCGGGTGTTTTCTGCCACACAAAACCTCGCCTGGTCAGACCTTAGAGAGGTTGCACTATAAGTTGGTGCATCAATTTTTGTCGTCACTGCAATAGATCCTTACAAAAACTTACTAGCTAAATCCCCATAATGTAAGGCCTTGAAGGAGCTGATGGCCGGCATTTCTGTTTCCGGGCTGCATGAAATTTGAAGCTTTCGAAGTGCTATGTGAGTAACCCTTCGCACTACATCATGAAATCAATTAAGGGGTTTTCAAGCTCCTACAGTAGTAACCAAATGATCTCTTGTCGCAACGCACGAACTGTCTGCGATCGAAACCGCATCTCAGAATCCTTAGGAAGTCGTGTAGCTTGCTTGCCTTGCTGTTTTTGATGCTCCCTCCAATGGTGAGAAAGCAAAACGTAGTAGAGAGAATCAAAAATACCATACCATCAACAGAGAGGGTGATAAAGTCTAGATCGACGAGAGGATATGTATCACTATCAGGACTGCATACGGCTCGCACAGTGGCAGCAAGAAAAAGTGGAACTGTGAAGTTACGTGTTTGTCCTATCAGATCCAATACGTGATGAGTACGAGAATCTGAACCACAGGTAAACGTGCCTATACGATCCACCAAAATTGAGACACAAGTCTTTCAAGGCGGAGCGATTACTTCCTCTACACCACTTCCTAGGTAGAAACCCCTCCTGAGTGGTGACGGACTCGCCTAGCTTGCGCTTCCGTGTATAAATCATTCAGCAGTTGGATTTCATCGATGACTTTTGAAGGCTGCTCGCCTTTGGACACAGCTCGTAGACAGTTACTAGAAACGACGTAAACCTTTTGAGCAGGTAGATTCGCCTCAGCGAGATTTTCCTTCACATTGCGGCGAGTTTCGTTGACAAGTTTCTCTCTCGCAGTCATGTACAAGGTTGACCGTTGCGACCGATCGGCGGTTTCGTCATCGCTGTCTTCCCCAATCTCCCTTATGATGTTGCGAATATGTTGGTCTGCTTTTGAGCGGACGATGTAAGTGGGAATTTTGAAGCGCCTGCAATTGAGGAGAATAGCGATGTCGGTCTGGGTGAATCGATTATCGAACAAGACGACAATGCAATCAAAGACATAGAGTCCCTGCGCGTTAAAATACTGCCAATCCGGGATCCTGATCGTCCCTGCTCCAGGAAGGTCATACCAGATATGTTGGCACCGCTCGTCAGAGTCGGGATATCTTCCCATTGTAAGGGTGGTCTCTGTGACTCCAGTCCGAGCGGAACCAGCTGCACGGTTACTCATACCGCGGAATGCATTTACGAGTGATGACTTTCCGCCACCGGCCCTCCCAGCAACAGCGAAATGGAATAAATTCTCCTGATACTGAATTTTTTCTTGGGCAGCACGAATTTCTTGAGGAGTGGGCGTTAATATAGGCTGGATGCCCTCTCTAAGCCTCCTCTCAGCGTCTTCCTTGGCAGCTGTAGCCTCGCGAACATTGTTCTCGGCTGCTTGTTTTACGACCTCTGCCTCTGCGACGGCTTCGTCAGCTTTCCGCTTTTCTTCTTCAGCTGCCCTCTGAAGACGCTCGGCGTGTTGTTTCAAAACCTCCGCTGTTCTCTGGACTTTTTCGAAAGCAGCTTGAGTACGCTGCCTCTCCGCCTCAGCTTCTTGGGCCTTCTTCTTGGCCTCCTCCGTTGCAAGTCGTGCTGCGTTTTCTGCGGCGAAACGGGCCGCATTTGCAGCTCTCTCGGCGTCAAACATAGCCCTCATTTGCTCCTGAGTTTTCCGCTGCGCAGCTGCCGCAGCCGATATGGCTTCTTGCTGAAACTGAAGGGTCCTACTTTGCATTGATTGCATTGATTGCACGAGCTGCGTCACCTGCGCCCTCGTACTGTCAAGCTCCCGAATGGCCCTATCCCGCTCTCTCTCAGCCGACTTGCGGGCTTCGATTTCAGCATAAGTTGGATTGGGAGCGCTGCGACCGGAACCGAGGAACTGCGATACTGCCCAAACTCCCGCATAGGCCACAGGTATAAGCCATGCCATTATCTTGCCTGCGCAAAGTCATCAGCAGTCGAACAATTAAAAAGGAAAGTCTGTACAATGGTGTGCAAGCACTGAAATGTAGATGAGAACGGTCTTCGAGTGATGGGATACCTTGAAAGGCTGGTGGATGAAGGTGCTTGTGTAATATAGTTCGAATTCGCCAGATACTCGGTTTCATGTTGGCCTCGCGGCTATGGTTCGGATTGGTGACCCTTGCCTTGGGTATAGGGTGCTTGACCGCATTGCACGCGCGTTTTAGAAGGATACTCATGTGACAGGATCGTCGCAAAGCCAGAACGGAAACAGGATCATCTGCAGATGCAGTGAGGATCATATTACAAACGTTTCTGAACGGCGTGTTTGGGGTACAAAGGAACCAAGACTTCATTTGTGAAAGCGCAGTGTGGACTCTGTGGAGGGTAAGACCGATTCAGAGTAAGTGCACAACTTGTGGTGATCGACGAGTACTTGGTTTCCCGTTCAAAGACCCAACACAGGAAACGGATGATGGCTGCATGGAGCTCCACAGATAACAGGCACGAAAATTAATCATATTCGCCGCTTTGAAATTATTGCGAGGATGGACGATGTTTGGTTGATGCCAATGGGATAAGTCTGAGTGACCCTGGCACTGCCACACTGACCAACTATCTTTGTTTTCATTCAACTGCAATGAAAGCAGATACTATTAATCACACTAGAGATTCGCCTATGTCCGGGTCAGCCAGGTCAGCCAAGCTGGTCTGAACCTTTATTTTGATCGTCATACCATTGAAGAGACCTCCATATGCTAGAGAGGCTGACCGCCGTGGTTCTTGGCTAAATCCAAGTCAGACACCTCTCAAGTCACCGTCCACATTATCACCAACACACTACCTCTACACAGAGCGTGTCATCCACTCCTTTCGCAGTCAAGTTTGCTATTCCCTTAGCGTCGCAGTTTGTACATATCTAGGTCTCGTAACCTGCCATGATCACCCCACAAACCGTCCCTGTTGCTCGTGCGATTCATGATCGCATACGGTGTCAACCGGTTTCGAGCAGTACGACCCTATGTGTTGGAGACATCGTTACAATCATTGGTGAGTGATTCTCCGCGATGAAATAGAAGCTTCAAGCATCATACGCGTATTGCAGTTATCAGTATTGTCTTAATTCTCGGACTCTTGTGCATATACTGGACATGGCGAGTAGTTCACCGTCATGCCGTCGCTGATCAAGAACAAGGTAAGGGTCCGTCAGGGACTAGTATAATTAAACTCGAGAGATTGATCTCTTGTGGCACCTGTTAACTCCTAGCTTCATCCAATTGCGATCCCTACAACGTGGTCTCGCCTTCGCTGGATAACTCCGTTCTCGTGAGAAAGGGTATCGTGCACGAACCGGACAAGCCGTTGCAAGCCAAGACAGCTGGGCCTGACGTCTTCTGGTCACCGCAGGCCCAACTGCCCGAACTCAAGTTTCACCTCGACCCCCTACCGGCCATGGAAGAAATGACAGAGATGAGAAACAACTTTTCTAGTCGCCCATTCTCTTGCCACTTTCCATCGTCGCCCTCTCCCCGTTCCAGCTTGGTATGTTTGGACCCGCCTCCGTTACAGTCGCAGTGCTTCGGAGGTACAGCACCCCTAACTACGCGGAGAGGCAGCCAGAAGCTCAACAGGTTACCAGATAGTGTGTGTTCTGAAGGCGGTGGCGAAATATCGCTTGGCAAAGCGGCTCCAACTGTACCCGGTGACACTATGACAGATAGTTCCCATTCGAGCATGAAGTTCGCATAAGAGTCCTGAGGTTGAACTTGTGGATGACAGAGGTGGGCCGAGTTGGTTGCTTGTGTGGAGCCATGATAAAGTTGCTCTTACAGTACTCCCACTTTTGTGTTCGAAGCACCTGATTGCATCATGATTTGAGTCTTCCGCTAACAAGAGTGCAATATATGGCAACAGGAGTTGATGACAAAATAGATCGCAGTCGCATGCTGCCACGCTAACTTATGCGCGTATACCTAAGCCAGGATTTAATGCGGCTATAAAAGATGAATGCATATCCGAAAGAACCATGCTAGGCTGGTGTATATATAACACCCTCTTAGAGCTTCAAGCAAGATGGATGGGTCACTGTGGGTATACTAAATCTTAAGGCAGGGCTTGAACGTCAGACAAATGAGATCATTTCAAGTGCATTGATCACTTCTCCACTTTAACGTGGCCCAGCGGTTTAAAAGTTGCCGCTGCAACATCAAAGGGTAGGAAATATATAGAACATGAACAGAGAGTGCTGGATATATACAATGTATGGTCCGGCACAGGCGTCCTAGTAACGTCATGTGCCTGGCTGATGGCGCCCACAGTCAAAAGCCTACTAGTACTGATTACTTAACCTGGCCAGTGGCCACCAAACCGATAAAGATGGTACCATAAATCAAGTTATAGTCCCACTTCGCCGCTCTCTGACCCTCTCATGCCAGAATTTTCAGACACTATCATCAGACTCTTCAACGGTCTCGAGAAAAGACAAGCCACCGGCGAGGTTTGTTCTTAATCCTACAACTGACATACTGCGCTGAACTGCTAGCCCGTCTGTACCATAGGGTGGTTTGCTTACTGGTTCTAATCCATCGGCTTTCGATGCTTCGGACCCGCTGAGGCTATGGATCATCCAAGTTGGTGTGTGGCATGTGTACTCATTACTTGGTATGATCTCAGTCCAACCTAGGTGTTATTATAATGATGGCCCAGCTACTTTCTCTGGGCTTACGCAGGATGAGGCAACCGAAAGTCATTGCAGAGGTGCTCGGCGGCATCCTTCTGGGTTAGTATTTTTACCTTCTGTGTGAAATGTCTGTCTCACGTACAAATTTACATAGGTCCAACGGCCTTTGGACGTATACCTGGCTTTACCCAACATATATTCCCTTCCCAGTCACTGCCATACCTATCTCTCGTTGCTAATATTGGCCTTTGCCTGTTTCTCTTCATCATAGGTCTCGAAATTGACATCAGTATCATCAAGCGCAATGCTCGCATGTCAGCTATTGTATCGCTCGCCGGCATGGCTTTGCCCTTTGGTCTCGGATCTGCATTGTCTATTCCATTATACCACCAGTTCATCGACCCATCCGTCCAGTTCACACATTTTATGCTGTTCACCGGCGTCGCATATTCCATAACCGCCTTTCCCGTACTGTGTCGTATTCTTACTGAGCTCAAGCTGTTGGATACCACTGTTGGCATTATTGTCCTCTCAGCTGGCGTAGGCAATGATGTCGTAGGTTGGACTCTCCTGGCGCTCAGTGTAGCGCTTGTCAACGCTGGTTCTGGTCTTACTGCCCTATGGGTATTACTCACATGCGTGGCATTCACAATATTTCTTTTATTGGTCGTCAAGAGAGTAATGCTTTGGCTTGCCAGAGCTACAGGCAGTACAGACGATGGTCCTACCATGTTTTACATGACTGTTGTTATGATCTTGCTTTGGGCGTGTGCGTTCTTTACGGATATTGTGGGTGTCAATGCTATTTTCGGTGAGCGCTAGTATTTTATTATCTGCTATCAAGTCCGCCGTCGCTCATTGCGTGTAGGTGCATTCCTAGCCGGTATTATTGTACCGAGGGAGGGCGGTCTCGCCATTGCTTTAACGGAGAAGCTGGAAGATATGGTCTCCATTGTATTTTTGCCTTTGGTATGTTCGTTATGCGATTCCTCTGCTGATTATTCACGCATTGCAGTATTTTACCATCTCAGGGCTGAACACCAATCTTGGACTCCTTGATAATGGTCGGTCATCTGAGACGCCTTGTTCTTATCTATTTTTCTTATATAACTTTGCACCTCGTAGGTATCACTTGGGCTTTTACAATTGCCGTCGCATGCCTTGCATTCTTGGGCAAGTTTGGTGGATGTACAATTGCCTCAAGGTTGTCTGGTTTCAGCTGGCGTGAAGCCGCCACAATCGGATCACTCATGAGCTGTAAGGGGTAAGCACCTAAGTACTTTGGTGTTCTCGTCTGCTAAATCATGTTACTCAGTCTCGTTGAGCTGATCGTGCTTAACATCGGCCTCTCCGCTGGCATTTTGTCTCAGAGGGTCTTCTCCATGTTTGTACTAGAAGCTTTGACACTCACGTTCATGACCACCCCACTTGTCACAGCATTGTATCCTCCAGAACGGCGTATCATCGCCACTTCAGGCGGTGCTCCTCCCAAAACTCGTGACGGCGAGGATGCGGATCTCGATACAGACAAGAAATTTCTTGTGAACGAGGAGCAGCCCTGGCGGTATCGCTTTACTGTCGTTCTCGACAAACTCGAACATATGCCATGCATGATGGCCCTCACGCAGCTCGTCCGTCCTCCTGTACCAGATTCCTCGTTCACCGTTGTATCCACGTCTGTTACATCTGATCCAGCCCCGCTGAAGTACAGGACGCCCGAAGTGAGCATCAGTGCACTCCGCCTCATCGAGCTCTCGGATCGTACATCGGCGGTGATGAAATCATCTACTGCGGATACGCTTATCCATACCGATCCCCTCCTAGCCATATTTTGCATGTTTGGAGAGCTGAATGATTTGCCTGTGTCGACATCGCTCACCATCGTGCCGCACGATGACCTTGCTTGCAGCGTTGTGGATCACGCCAAGCGAGATGCATCCCAGCTCATATTACTCCCGTGGTTGCCATCTTGTGCTAGCACTGCTGAAACAAGCGATAGCGTGACGCTACGTCGAGAAAGGTTTGATTACAACCCTTTCGAGGTCATGTTCGGTACATCAAGAGATAAGTCTGCGTCTGCCATGCACTCGCAGTTTGTACGCGGGGTATTCGCACAAAGTAAGACAGACGTCGCCCTGTTTGTCGATCCTGGAAATCACCTTAACACGGGTGCGAAGACAGGCGGCTTGCATCACATTTTCTTTCCATTCTTTGGCGGTCCCGATGACCGCCTTGCGTTGGAATTTGTGGTACAACTCTGTGCGAACCCGAAGATTAATGCAACGGTGGTGAAGATGGAAAAACGCGAGATTGAACACACGCAAATCGAACGACCTTCTACGGCCCATTCTGATGATGTCAAAAACGACGCCAAGTCATTCGCACTTCCTCATCAAGAAGGATTGGCGGTATCATCCGTGAGTGCGACTGTCTTCTCCGCATGAACCGAGTAACATGTTATCACCGATGATGCAGATATTAGTATTTCCAGACACTGTCTACGGGCAGGCTAACACGCAAATGCGCATGCAGTCCGAAACAGCTGATAGCATCATTTGGTCCCGATATGCGGGCTGCAATCTATTAGATTCGGACATACCTGGGCCATTGCGTACTGCGCTCTCGCGGATCAATTTCACGAGCCTCGCGTCTCCCGTCCCGCTGCATGCTGCGATCCAGCGCGCATCGACGAACCAACGGGTATTGGTTGTTACTGGACGATCAAAGCGACTGGCAGTGGAGGACCATCATGCTGAGTTGAAAGATATTGTAGAGGAGCATAGGGCAGTAGGGCATGAGGTAATGAGGAAGACGATCGGGGATGTGGCAACTGCATTTGTAGTGTCGGGGTGTGCGAGTGCGGCGGTTGTGCTGCAGGCTGCGAATGTGGGGATGCAGTAGTTGGGGTGTAGGTGGTGTTGTTTAGAACGAGACTCGATAAAGTATACCCTAGGTATTACTAATTTTCATAGGAGGTGTAGGCATGTTAAGACAGGACTCGAGATCATATTAACTATACCTCAACGCATGGTTTTACTACCTGGAGTGATGTAATGTGCATGTTTGGGAGACGGTAGTAGCGCACTGGGGTGTATCAATAAGGACGGACAGGAACTTACACATTTATCAGGGCACACGGGCAACCATGAAAGCAGATATACAAGACAGGTACAACTGCGCGTTCTGTTCTTTACAGTGAAACGCGAAAATTTGTCAGTCTCTAGTGTCGTTCAACGCTATCGATTTACCACATGCAGGTGGATGCACATGTCCACCAGATGCGTTGTAAGTTCATCGTTAGGTGGTGGCAGTGGAGAACCGCCATCTTAGAGTTGAACGGAACGGAGGATAGTCGGACAAGGAAAACTAACAGCGATGTTTGGAGTTGATCGCACGAGTCGGAAGCGCACCGTATTTCAGAACATTGACGTCGCAAGAATTAGCCGTTCATCAAGGCAAGGACGATCATGAAAGTGGAAATACAAAAAAAAAGACATCCGGACGAAAAGGTATACCACATACTGTATCATGCCTTACTCTTCTTCTTTTTCTCCTTGTCTTTCTTGTCTTTCTTCTTTTCTGTTTTCTCAGAGGTGCCATTCTGAAGAAGAAATTAGCCAAGACCGCGATTATTTGACAAACTCAAGCATACATGTGAAGCAGCAGCAGCCTCGGCCTTACGTGCTGTTTTGGCTGCCTTCTTCAAAGCCTTCTTCTCCTCCTTGGACAACTTCACTTTTTTCTCCGCGGGCTCTTCATCTGCCTCATCCACATCCATAGCATCTCTCAACCTCTTCTTTTTCTTATCCTTCTTAGGTGTGACGTCAATCAATGGCAATATAGGCTCTGCATCATCCGTCTCAGCGTCTGGCTTATCCTCCATATCCTCATCCTCCTCCTCATCATCCTCCAAGTCTAGTGCGAGACTGTCGAGGACCTTGCGGATGGCATCGACGTTCTTAGTCGGCGGTGCGCCGGTCTCGAAGAAATTAAGACGCTCTTCGACTTGTGTGCGGAGGGCCTCGCCGAATTTTGCAGACGGATTATCTGGGTATTTTTAGTAAGGGGTGAATATGTGGAGATGGAGTGGAGTTACCCGAGTAGCAGTCTATCCGAGAGGCAATAGAACATTTATTTGCGAGGAACCGGGATATCCGGCCTTTGTGCTTGGGGTCTGCACGGCCGATGAAAGAGGAGTGGTATAATAGACCATACTGTATTGGAAAAAAAAATTAGCTTGATTGGCGCTTGGGATGGAGTTACGAACCTTTGGGGTGTTGCCCTTGGTTTTTAACGCCCGGAATAACGCCTTCTCTGCACCAAGGATCTGCACGGTACTAGCAGGGTACTTGCTCAGATTTGTCAAGCTACCCGCATGGCTGATCAAGCGTGCGCCTATCCGCTCTCCCAATAATGCAGTAAGAGACGGAGCGACGAGGTTCATTTTCTCGCCTAGGTAGGTAACGAGGGATTTACGGTAGTCAGCGATGGAAACGACACGGGTTGCAAATGCAGAGATGTTGAGCATGTCAATTTCGGATATGGATGAACCCATTGAGCCGCGAGCGGCGTCGAGGATGTTTTGTGCGAGGGTAGAGTCGTCCTCCAAGAGGGTAGTGAGCTCAGGTAATTTTTCCTCTGTCAAAGTGTCCTTGTCGCCTATGAACTGTGCGATGCGGGCATATTGGTAGTTGTCTGGAACAAGTTTGACGAGTTCGGGGAAGTGATAGCCGTACCACTCTCTTATACGCATAGCGAACAAGTTGACATCCTTGTCAAGCTGGTCGAGGAGGGCGATGGCTTGTATGATCATGTTGTCCACACGGTTAACGTTGAACTTCAATTTAGCGCGGGAGTAGGAGTGGCCGAGACCAAGTTGAGCTTTGATGAGGTCGGTAGCATCGAGGCCCTTAAGAAGCTTTGGTGCATGGAAGCGAATGCCGCGAAGGATTTCCTGGGAGGTGTCAGAGGCGTCACATTTTATGTCGAGGTTTTCAAAGATGGCGTTTGCGAGAACGACCTCTGAGACTGCAAGAACTATCTTGGAGCCTTTTTTAGGCTTCGAGAGATTAAGCTCGAGGAGGGATTTGAGATGGACATTGAGGATGCCTGGGGATCATTGAAATTACTGTGAGCACAATAAATAAATAAGTCTATTCATGCGTACCTTCTGAGATATCGTTTATGTTTTCGAGAGCATCCGCTGCATTTTTGAATGGCGAGAAACTGACGAGAGTAACCATCTTGCCGAATTTTGAGAGGTCATTGATGGAGTCCTGGACTGCTTTGACACGCGAGCCAATGTTTTCATGGAGTTTTATATCGAAGATGGCGTATCCTGACGCTGACTCGAAAAGTGCATGCGTCGCCATCGTGGCTTGTGCTGAGCTCGTTGTTGAGGTCGACGAACAGCGACTGAAATTTTGGATCGGCATGTCCCGAACATCTGGTTGCCAAATGCGGTGATTTGTGGCATGCCAATGACTTGGCAGAGTCAAGTATTGACGCCGATCTGACCGTTATCTTGTGTTTTCTGGACATGCATCATGCCCCCCGAGTACATATAGGATAGAAAGACAAGCACTTCTCCCAGGCCAGGTTCAGACTTTCCCCAGACTTCATCATCCTCTAACATAAAAGTTGCTTCTGCGTCCACCGCGCCCTCGGTCGACGAGGGAGGGAGGTTAAAGAGGGGGTTTTCTTCCCGAGAAGCATCCCCCACATTGCAGTCAGAGTCTCCTCCCTCCAAGAAAGGCGCGTACGCCTTACCTCACCCAGCTCCCAACCCTGCGATTTATGTCTCCTCAATGCCACCTTCGCTACGAGCAAGATCCGTGCCACTCGCTCTCCGACCTTTCCTCGATCCTTTGCGGAAACCCGTCAGCCAAGAACAAACCCCACAAGCGCCCAGTGCTATGTTGAGTGGGTCTTCTCTCTTGGTTTTGCCGTTCGGGGACATCGTGATAATTCAAATACAAACTTGCAGCTAGTAATGTGCTCAGTGCAACAACTTCGTCTCCTGTGCCTCTCAACAGTTCGCCACGACTGGAGCCATCCCGCCCGAGCCCTACGTTACATGACAAATCTGAAAGTGGTGAAGAGTTTGAGATCTTAGATACATACGGTGATGCATTCATGGAGTACATGTGCATGAGTCCGTATCCGTCGCGCTCAGTGTCGCCTGCCTCCATTCCCGCACCGAATCTGAATTGGAAACTACTTTCATACCATCCAGCTCGGCCCAACCTATTCCTTCACTTCGATATCGCTTTTCCAACTCACGACATAGAGTTCGTGCAGGACTTTTCTTACGGGATCCAAAAGGCGCCTCTGTCTGATGCTGATCTCGATATGCCGGCCGCAGACGAGGAATTGACAAATATGACCATTAATTTCCAGCGTAATCCCTTACGATGGGATATCCACGTGAAGCGTGATGAAGGCATTCGTGTCCGTGACGTTTTCGAGGCGATCTATTCGGCTTTTGACATACCGATCACGCTCTACGAGAAGAGCTTGATGCCGCCTCGCCTCCATGCGGGGTGTGAGGAGGCATTTAGGCTTCGCTGCGACCTTGCACCGGTGCCTCTGATCATGCAACAATGCCAAGGTTGGAAGCGTATAGATACACTTCTGCATGAAACCATCTTCCGCGGCTTGACTCAGTCGAAGCGAGGGGAAGATTGGACGTTAAATCTCAGCGGGACGGTCCCTGGATTCATTGACAGGAGACGTCTCATATCGTGTCACATTGCAGCTGATCGAACTGCGCGTTGCTATCCGCTCGTCGAAATTTATGAAGCTGAAGTCTGCCGTTGATGTCAAAGCTTGACCTTAAAACTACCTCATCACATTTTCCTCCGACCCCTTCAGTATTGGAACTTCCTAGTGTACGCTTCCGATCTCCATCACACGAGCTTGCTGCGCATTGAACGTGTCTTCAATTTCTTACAGGAATACCTACCGCCGTATCCCGACCAAAATCTGAATGCGCCACTAAATTATTCTAAAAATTATTTGTTCAATCTACCTGTAAATACTTTGTAGTCCACTCACCTTCGTTGACTGACTTTGATTATTAGCTTTCTGCTGCCTTTGTGTCTAGAACAGGTATGGGCAGTAATATAGCGGTACGGGCCACGCATCTTGGGTTTTCTTCTTGATCATTGTTGATAAACCCTCAAGCTCCCCTCGCAAGGTGCCTGCAGGATTTGTAATTTCGCGGGGTTGAGTGCGATCCTTCAACATGGGACCTTTTGCATTCTTCTGAACAACATTCCCCCATTGATTACGGAACCTTTGAATCAAGACTATACCTGGGCCTTCTTTTGCAGATTTGCCCCCCTCGGTACTTCGTTTGACTCGCCTAGTCGAGGATCTCTACCAATGATTCGACTGGGCAGCGATCGTGCTCGCCTCATTGAAAGGCTCGAAGCGAACTTCGAGAACTCCAGTAGTCCTATGTCATGGCTACACGGACCCTCCGGTACAGGGAAATCTGTCATTGCATACACTCTTGCCAGTCGGTGCAGACAGAAAAATAGATTGGCGGGCAGTTTTTTCTTCTCTCGCAGGCATGCAAACTGCAGAAACGCACATTCTCTCGTGTTCGCACTTGCGTATCAACTTGGGCTGTCTCAACCGCAGGCGAAGGAGAAAATCGTTAAAGCCCTGGACAGTGATCCTGGTATAATCTCTCCCTCTCGAGATTTGCGCGAGCAATTCGCTCGGCTCCTCATTGAACCTCTGGAGGCAGTTGATTGGCGCTCTCCTTCGTGGGTGTTCGTAATTGATGCTATAGATCAATGTCAAGACCAAGCACCCGATCTCATTTCACTCCTTACTCGACTTCTCTCTCATATGATTGACGTGGGCCTTCACATCTTCTTCACAAGCCGTGATTATATAAATGGAGACTCGATCAAGTGTCATCTCTCTCCAATGATATCGGACATTACCCTGGACCTCACTGGCATTACTAGGAATGTTAGATTATTCCTCCGCCAATCTTTTGATAAGATACACAAGCGTCACCGTCTCCAATGTCGTAGGCCATGGCCACCGGAAGAGGTGCTCAGTTGTCTAGTGGATAGAGTGGGACCCCACTTCATTGCAGGATCCATCATCGTAAAATTTATTGAAAGCCTTGACCATGACCCCACGGACAGGATGAATTTTATTGAGCACATTTCTTTTAATCCCTCATCCCCTTCAGAGTCATTAATAGATGACCTCTACAAATCCATTATATCCACAGCCGACGACCCAGCGCAAGCATATTTTTATCTCACAATTATTGTGAACCTTGCTGGCATGCTGTCGTATTGTCAACTAGATGAGCTTCTTAACCGAGGGCCAAACCAGAAGTTTGACATCCGTTTCGCATTATCTCAATTGTCACCTCTGGTTCACACCCCAGATGGTCACGACAGTGCTGTGCAAGTCTGTCACGAATCCCTTCGCAATTTCCTGTCCGACCCTCTGCGCCGTAGAGAGCAGCTCATCTCTGAAGCCGCGGTTCATCGTCTGCTGGCTTACTCTTCTTTGCGTATCATGATAGAGGAGTTACCAAATTACAGCGCTCTCTGTTCCCGTTTATCCCAGTTAGCGACGGAAAGCAGCTCTGGATCCCTCTGTGCCTTCGACAATGCGGAAGTTCTGTCACTTGCAATGTATTCACCGCCAGAGCCTTTGCCATTTTTGTCTATGCTCTGGCATATCATGCAACGTCAGTATGCGGGACTTCAGGTTGATTCTCGCACAAAATTAGCGCTGCTATATCTCTGCCATACCTGGCAGATTTTACAGCACCTCGACTTGTCCGCAGCTGACGCCCTGCCTGCCTTCCGCTTCCTAGCAAATATTGAATCCCTACCTGTACTCTTGGCCTTTCCAATATTTCTGGCATTTGAATCTCCTAGAAGTGGCCAAACTCTGGGCCCATCGACCTTGGAGTACCACCCTCGCATAGAAACCTTGGATGCAGTGACCGACATTGTGACCAATGTGCATGCCCTCAGGGATCAAAGCAAAGCGGACTCGGGTGCACTCGACTATGCTTGTACTCACTGGGCCCATCACCTTTCTTTGGCGGAGTGGGATGATGACCTCCGCTCCGTCGTCACTGCCTTTATGGAACAAAAGCTCCTGCAGTGGCTCATGAAAGCATGGTGCCTCCAGGATCTGGAGTCCTGCCTCCGGATGTTGTGGGAGGCTCGGGAACTTTGCTTGGCAGTTAATCCGCCTATCTACTTTGATCCTGACGCGCAACGTACCGTTGCAGACACAAAGGTCGAAGAGGATGTCGAAAAATCTAATTTGGCAGCGTTGAGTGTGACAGAAGTCGTAGATGATATTGAGGTTGAGGACGACCATTTCCAAGGTCGTACCGCAGAGCACATTTACTTGTACTCGAAGTCCAGCACCGTTGCGAGCAGAACTGATGCCGTACAACGTCGTCGACGCCGCGATACTCATAAGTGCGATGTATGTGGGCAAACCTTTACAGCCGTATTCAGCTTAAAGCGTAAGTTATTTCTGCCAAACTACCTTCTTTTACGGTGTCGCTGAGATAAATGCAATAGGTCATATGCAGTCTCACGCCTGATAATCTGAATATGTGAAAGGTATGACAAATGGATAAATTTTCAATGCCTTTCAGGACAACAGATGTGAATCTTGATTTTATAAACCTGAGAGCTATTGCATGGCTGAAATTTTCAACTTTTGTATCATTAAAAGTCCCTGCAAGTGGTATATATTTCTAGACATTTGCTATGATCAGTTAGAAAGGTGGGAATAATAGGTGGTGTATGCGTAGTAAGTGTCATGCTCGCAGAGTGCTAGTATGAGTACTATATGGCGCTACAGACTGACATGTAATGATTTTTACTGATTGTAGGAATTGGACACACTGTAAAGCGAATACAAGGGTTTATCATAAAACTTGCGTTTCAGTGGTGTGACACTTTTGTAGTCACGCATTGTGTATTACTGATTTAACCGCATAGGACGGCTCTGCAAAGGTTATCAAAGTAATATAGGTGATCGTAAAGCATGATTGCAAACGAATTAGTCATTGAAATCAATGGTCTGTGCAATGGTCAGCATGGCTATACATGATTCTAAACCTTCCAAGTACCACTGTCTTTCAAACCACGACAGTAGCTTATCCCGCCAGAAGGCACGCAGAAATGTACGCAGACGTTCTTCTACAACCGTCGAATCCTGAGAGAGATACCAACCCCAATACTGGCAAGCATGTCTAAGGGCTGGTGAGCTAGACAAACTTCGCTCGCTTCCCTCTCGTACGTATTGCACGAAGTGTTTGAGCGCCGGAGGCATGTCCGACTCGTTATCAGACCCATCTGTCGAATCTATATTATCAGAAGTGGAAGGGTGGGCGTGACGAATTGCCAAGAGTATCACGACGATCAATGTTTTTGGTAGAGCTTGTAATGTCGACAAGAGTTCGAAGACGTGTAAGTCGCGAAATTCAGATCTCGTTCGGAAGTCCCTCAGTGCCGACCGAGCCTTCGATACGTCCTCAGACATATTGCAGGGCTGGACAATAGATAGAGCGCGGCAAGCAATGCCAGTCCCTGAGTGCGCATATTCACGGTACCATGTGGCCGCATATACGGTCTTGCTGCATGGCTGCGCCAAACAAAATTTTAGGAAAATCATCAAAATCTGTGCAGATGCTAACGCGAAGATACCACGTGTTTGCAATATAGGCACGAACATGATCTGATTGTGGACTTGCTTCAATAGGTATCTTCATCAGTGTCACCATTTGTTGTAGCTCATCTTTGAGGCCGGACTGGCGCAGGAACGAACTTTTCATCGTCCGCAGACTGGACTGTGCTAGGAGCTGAGATGCACACGAGAAAGACGGTTGTTGGGAAAGAAACTTGCGAAGTGACTCCATATGGAGAATCTCGACAGGAAGAGAATCATCGGTAGGAACCCTGACTATTGGGGATAACGACACGAGAATGGACGACAAATCACTTTCTGAAGATCCCAGGAGCCTCCGCAAGTGCAGAATTGCTAATGGTTTGGCGAGATTGACTACCGTGGATAGATGTCGGTATGCACGGATTAGATTTTCTGACGAGTCGATGACGAACTCGTAGAACCGGAATATTTGGGTGGGATGTAAATATGCATCACCAGGATCCTTCATAAGGCTGATTTTTTCACCCAAATCGTATGGCACTTCGTCGTCGTCGTGGGTCTCCAGAAATCTCATCATCATTGACGCAGTCCCGAACCGACCGCTTGCCCTGTCAGTGAGACAGAGGATTGTCTCATCGTCTGACTCTGATTCAGGGCATTCGAGACCGTAATTCCTATAACTCCTTTCCAGAGCGTGCTTGAAGAGGAGACGAAGGTCTTCAGTAACATCCACATCATCGAGAGCGATGTGACATATCGACTCCTCGCAGCCAATAGCTTCAAATGCATCTTCGATAGTGTGAAGAGGGCGACTAGTGATGACGATATGCAAGTGCGGGATATGCGGCTGGTGGAGGAGGTTTGACAGACATGAAATGAGCTCGCAGATGCGTTCTCCTTCGCATGCGTCAATCGCATCAATTACAAGCACCTTTGGTTCCAAATGCCCCCATGAAACCTGCACATTCTGTAATGGCTTAACTAGTAGTTCTTGGATTTGATCAGCAAGCGGCTTCCTTGGATCGAGGATAGCAGGGTCGGATCTGATGGATTGAACCACGGAGGCTTTAGCCATGTGTTTACTTTGCGAAATTTGGTAGGCCAAGGTAGGCGCAAAGAAATCAAGGCTGGCCATGCCTGGCACATCTTTATGTTGGCGGCTGAAGAAAAACGTGCCAGCCAATCTCGACTTATCTTTGAGGCGGCTGGCGATTGTATGAGCAATCGCAGATTTTCCTGTCCCAGGGGAGCCAGAGAGCCAAATAAGGGTACGGTTTGTTGCATCCAGAGTTGTTTCGATTTCTTCTATAATCTTCGTGCGGGTGCCACCTAGACATTCGAGTTTATGCCGAGGGCCCCACTTGCGACAATCATATAATGCATCGTAGACAACGACCGCACTTAAGGATTCGTATATCTTCTCTTCGCTGCTGGTGTCAGCTATCACTGTGCGAACAGCGCTGTATTTCATAACGCCCGATATGTCCAGTTCGCGAAGGGCGCTAAATCGTGCAGCCAACATTGTCAGATTTCAAGTCATACAAAATAGAGATTAAACACTCACTCAAGAGATTTTCAATGCACGAACAACAAGTAATACAGCTGATGGGATCAAACGGGGTTTGGGAGCTGCCAACTATGGGATGATAAGCACAATAGACCTTCCTTGTCAACAGATAGGTTACCTCGGTACCTCGCCACTTTCTGAATCTCTGAAGAGTGCGCAGAGTAGGTGAAGTCGTAGATACATGGTGTGTGCACTGATACAGCAATGGCCTGGGCGGCTACCAGCGTTTACACCGTGGGAGTATGAGTACTGAATTGGCGAGTGTAGACTGAAAGTGGTGAAGAGTTACCACGGTCACGCAATTTCTATCGCACAAAAGGCTTGAGCTTAACTTTCTCCAAATCCTCTGTGTTCTCTGACAATCCTCCTGTTACGGGTACAATCTAGACGATTCGATGGTCTTAAAATGGTCATCGGCCGAATGGCAGCTGGCACTTGGAGAGAGGGAAGCTTTTCAGTGCTGACAGCAGCTTCGGCAGCCCCGTGATGCCTCGGGAAGTTTAACTGAACATCATGGCAGTATCACTCAAATGACCAACTTGTGGGTGTTCATACAACGCGTCATCACACACTTCTTGTGTTGTGCACAGGTTGATCGCTAATTGCGTATAATTCTATGATGTGGCACTATAATCATGCGAGGTCGCCGGACAGAATTTCGACAGGCGAATTTCAGGCGATGCTGGGCTGTACCACTCCGTCAGAGACTTCTGTTCAATGTCTCTGATACCATTCATTTACCCTAACGGTGCAGATATCGCCGTCATCCTTTGGTCGCGGTCATCTCGGTGACGATTCACGGCATGCGGCCTTGCTGTAGATCCAGTGATTATTTATAGCACCTAGTATCATTCTTGGACAGAAGGCTCTGATATGATGCCACACAACTGCAATGCGTCTCATTTGACGAACAATGTACTGCAGTGTTGGGTTTCCAGACCTTTCGGTATTTCTGATTTTCCCCGCACCTGATGGCATCCAAGAAAGGTAGGGCAATTCACAGAATTGCCTCGTTACACCATGAACTAATCTTCCATTCTTGCAAGGAGGCATACGGCCCGGCTAATCCTGCCTGCGAAATGATGGACAATGACACCAAGCTCTCAGCGATTACTGGTCTCATGACAGTTACCGAATTTGATCCTCTTTCCACAACATGCATTTGTCAATGATGAGTCTTGGTCGAGTGTCACAAGAACGTGAGGTTTTAATTACGCCCCGAAACCTGCTAGTAAGGTTCACTACGGTCAATCCAATCTCCTTGAGTCACGAGGGGCTTAATAAGGCCCATGGGGTGTGATATGGGTCGGCTACATTGCTGCACTCCATTCATAAGGTTCAGAAAATCCTACATGGAGCAAGGCCCATGGATAGTTCCGTCTATTCCGCTTTCCCAAAATGTCGTGGAGCTGGCGAATCTGAAATTTCTTTTGGAGCCCAGTATCTGAGTCCTGGTGTCAGAGCTTCTCCCATTATATCACGATAGCAGTGTACGGATGCTATCGCGGCGTTGAGGATCAAGAAGCATAGTTATACAGCTTCAAAACTCATAACCCGTTCTGCAACCGCCCCAGCACTGCTCACTTTCCTTGGAATATTTTCTTGCTGTGTTAATTAGGCGCTAAGGCGCTTACCCTGGATCCGGAATGGCAGGCCTGGATACTTTCGCTGGGTAGTTCTGAACTAGTGTTATGTGCTGACGTGCCTACAACACATGTTGAGCGAAGCTGACATGGTTTATCTTCTGTTTGATTCCAACACGCGTAAGCAGGTAGATTGATAACATGCTGTTTAAGCCCCTTAAGGAGCCCATCACAGTTTGTTGGGTAATTGCCATTTTCGGAAGTACTTACGCCCTGTCCTCGTGGTATGGAACGCTGTATGCAAAGCCGCTCGTGGTTTTCTAGCTTCTTGTGTCTTTCTTGGTCCATATAAGACGCAGGAACTGACTGCGCGAGCCCCCGGTGGGACTTCAGAGGCCACTCTGCATATCTCTTCGGCAAAGGCCTGTTCAGGTAAGTTCTCCATCATCTCCTCAGTGGCAAACCTTGTACACATGGTATAACACGTTGCATTATGATCTCCAGCCCTCGCCCCTCACATATCTTGAAATCTCTACAAGACTTTCGCCTCCATTTTCAACAGTAACGACCTTCATGTATAAGACGAAGCACGACCTAGGGAGTCCTAATTACAATCTCAACACTCCCAAGATACCCCCCAAGGCGCTTCCACAGTCGCCACCACTCATGCCCCCTCCGAGTCGTTCTTTTAGCAGGGCCGAGCATCGTTCGTTCACAATGCCAAAGCTCTCTCTTTCGAGCTCAATGTCACGGGCGCACACGCCCAAATCTTCCACACCACAGCCCCTCAAGTCCATCCTGAAGGGCAAGACTTCCCCTCCTCGTGACTCATATGAAAGCGATGGAGAAGTTACTGCCGCCAAGAAAGGTTCGCGGAATAATGATGTATACACAGTGCCCAACTCCCTTCCGCAACATGCGCACTTGGGTGAGTCCTTGGTCCAGCTCTCTTTTCACCATTACGTACCTTATCTGATCTTGACCCGATAAAGGTCCCATGAAGGGTCCCGCACTAAACCTTCACTGGAAGCTGCTCCCCTACCATCCAAAGCGATCAAAGCGATTTCTTCACTTCGATGTTGCTTTCCCAACTCACGACATCGAGTTCAGACAGAACTCGTCTTACGGTGTTCAACGAACAAGCTTGTCTGATGCCGACTTTGATAAGTCGGCTGCAGATGAAAAGTTGGTCAAGATGACCATCAACTTTCAGCGAGGTCCATTCGAGTGGGATATCGACGTGAAGCGTGATAAAGGCATTCGTGTCCGCGATGTCTTTGAGGCGATATATGCGGCTTTCGACGTACCGCTCACTCCTCATGAGAAAAGCTTAATCCCGCACCACCGCCGTGCGGTATATGAAGAGGCATTCAGGCTTCGCTGCAAGTTAGCGCCAGGGCTTCCTATCGTCGAACAGCGCAAAGGCTGGAAGCGCGTAGACACGCTTCTGCACGAGACCCTCTTCCGTGGTCTGACGCAGCCGAAGTCAGGAGGAGACTGGGTATTGAATCTCAGCGGGTCGGTACCCGTGAACAGCCACTGAAGAACAGGCTCACGATCATTGCATATTTTTTTCTCTCTCTCACTCTATTCTTGGTGAGTACTTTTATCACCACCGCCACCACATACTTTGAACTGATGGCCATCTTCATGCAGAACTGGATTCCAGCATTTCAGCCACACTCATTTGGCTTCATGGCATCTTATCAACTCTCGCTCTTCGATTATCAGCACCTCTCAACATTCAGTCCCTTTTTAATTTTGCTCATATTTCTAAAAGTGTTATGTTTTATCCTACTCATGTGTCGCAGCCTTCTCGCTGCCTGGTTCATAGGAGCTTTAACCTAGACGGAAGACGCTCCCTACTCTGTACTTTCTCGCGATCCTGGTTTCCTTATCTTCTGGACTCTGGCTAGGATCAATTTGTCCGGATCAAGGATATCAAGTTACTACTGTTCAAGTTCATTAGTACACATCATGTTCGCATTCCCTTTCCCATAGACACTTTCCCTCGCAGTGGAAAAAAAAATAAAACATGGGTTTTATGTGTCGAAACAGATAGTGCCTTCTAACGGTTATCCGTGGAGGACGGAATCTATCGACTTCTTAGAATTCACAATCAAGACTACGTAGCACACTCTCACGACTTACAGAACCTAGGCGAATAAGATGGAAGGCCTCAAGAAGAATCGCGGACCAAACTTGGATCGTAAATCACTTACGTTTGACAGGTAGGGCTGATGAACGAATGCGTCCTGGTACTCTGAATAGAACCCGATGAACGCAAACTATGTCTCCATCAAATTTCCAGACCTGTAGCCTCGTGCCGATGTACGCCAGATAACCAGATGTGAATTTGGTAGGATAGCAAGAACTTTGCTCCAGTGATAACGGTGAAGTCACGGCACGGCGAATTCATTGGAACGTTTAATGAAAGGTTAGTGTTAATCTGGAAGGATGGTTCCCTACATCGCCCTCACAATCAATAACTCACTTTTTTTAGAGATGGTGACATCCAGGCCTCCGCAGGAGGTTCCAAATCTACCATATATACGGTTCACCGCCGATCAGTGTTGTGCAGCCTATGAATTCCTCGCACCAGGTAAGCGCCAAAAGATTGAATTGGTGTGCATGTGACCGGATATCCACGGTGCTCATCCAGGTGAACTTTTCTGGATGTGAAATCGGCTGTAAGATGCACCAGCTATCAAGGATTGGTCCTTGTCTGTTCTTACACGTACGGAGCGGAACAAGTGACGTGTGATAAACTGGAACAAGACTAGGTCAGAAGGCATATTTGCGCGGATAGACTGACATGCAAACCTTTCAATGGCCGTTGGTACTATTTTTTCTTGATGGTACGCAAAGCGCCCACTCTGAAGGGTCAAAACTGTTGCTATCGACTGATCGATGGGAGGAAACCAAGGGATGGCTCATCGTAATATGGAATCATACTAAGTACAATTTCGAATTCAATGAGCAGATGATGATAAATTGATCTATAACCACCAGACTCGTGACCAGCCGCCTTAAATGACATTAATATTGACGAGCTCGGAGGACGCACAGGTGGTACCGTACAGGGTAAGGCGGCTGTTCAATGTTGATCCACATTACCATCTTCGGGAAAGATAAGACGACTGGCGAGGACACCAGTATAACAGCTGCAGTGATATTGAACCACACTGCCAATCGATTTCGTTGTCGATTTTCGAGTCATCGACTCATCATGCATCATGTTCACAGTTCAGTGGCGGCCTTCGCCGAGGTTGGTTGCCTGCTGCATCTGGCAAGAATTTACCACGATGCAGACCTCTGATTTCAAAATTCCCACCTATGCACTTGGACTGCAGCACAACACTACTTCGACTTCCGAGTCAGATCCGAGATCTGAATAAAGACTCTCTTGGAACGGTGGGAAGTCTAATGTAATTCGCTGCGCATGCAATATTTTGGCCCATCTTCAGACACCAATCGAATCTCATTGAAGATTTCCCTTCGTGTGAGGCCAAAACTTGAAGTTGTTCGTCAAGGACATCCTTTTAACTCTGAAACGGATTTGGCACGATGCACTAGTACCATGTCCTCTCTAGTGCGTTTCCCTCGCATGCCAGTCATATCACCGAGTGTCGCCTCCGCCAGTTGCTTTGTTTTGTGGATGGCATCAAGGCAAGAAACAAACTGCGTTGGTGTGGAACTGATCAACTGTGACGGTACCAGGCCAGAATCAAGGGAAGAACTATCTTCCAACCAATTAACGACCGATTATCAGCTCAGTCACGGTGCACATCTCAGGCAATCCGTGCCTGATATTCCGATTCGCAAGAAATCAGCAATCAACATGTACGTTCCGTATGTACTTAATATAACTAATCCTTTGACATCATGCCAAGTAGCATGATTTATGTCCTCTGCAATCTTATCGCTTTCTTTCTACTGGTTCTGGACGTAAACCTAGTCTCTGTACCTGTTACGGTCCTTGCGGACAGATCTTCCCAACACCCTACCTACCCTACCACCTTCACTCTTGACGTTGCTTTGATTGATCGAACAATCCTGCCAATTGCTATGCGAGATTGAACTTTCGGATGGGGCGACAATGTGACAAACCAGGTATACTGGTGCAGATGAAGTTCGACCCGGGTAGGCTATCGACAGATGGTGTCGTTAACTCTTCGCTGATCCATCAATTTTTTGCAGTCGAATACGGCCTTTGATACCTTGATAACCCATTGACTTTCTTATTAGGCCGTTTGCAGCAAGATACGAGGCTAACATCGACACTGAATACTAATCTCGCAGCGGGACAATATATTTTTCGTGATAATGCCAGCTGGGCAAAAAAAAAAATGACATTGAAATAGTTCGAAATGTCACCAAACGTCAGTCCGCAGTCCACTAAGCGCCCAATGATTACAGCCTAACGCGACAAACGGAAGGTTGCTTTGACACACCCCTTGCGACGGGCACGGGGGTGTGACAAGACAGCTACGAAACGACACCATGCCAGTAGGTGGGAACTCCCTCATCAAATTCTCGCCGCCATCGTGTTTACTACATACGAGAAAGTCAATTTCCCTTATGGATCGCAATCTGCATAGCTCTCATTTCGACGATATCCGAGAAATCATCTTGAACAATGTCTACGTAAATTTACGTTACATGTCAACTGCATAGGACCTGTAAAGAGACTCCTGAGGGACATTCCCGATGCTACGGCGTCACTGCTCAATGGGCAGATCTTGTACTCAAAACTCGAGAATAAAGGTGTCTATCGTTGTCCTGCTTACTTTATTCTGCTCTAATGACCCATCCACAGTCACTTGTCTTGATTTGGACGCCATCAATCACATTAATCTGTGCCTTTAGGATTCTTTCACACCGACGCCGCCACTATCTAGACTTTTCATAATGATTTTGGTTCAATTGCCATTCTGACTGTCGTTTCAGCATGTCTCATGACATTAATATTGTCCAAAAACAGTTCTGTACACAAGCTTTGCGACTCTCGACGTATTCAATCTCACGAGTCATTCAATTTTCAGTGCTGTCAGCCTCCTCATAGCCTGTAGGAACTGCCAATCAATATCGTGGATCCACTGTTGGAACTTTATCTCTGGCGGGACCTATTGTGGATACCCATCACAATAAGCGTGGTATTCGCCCTACGATTCATGCGCCCGACTATTCGTACCTGCAGCTACTTATCCTCCAACTAGGGAATACCAGCTTTCAACTTTAAGGAGTCTACTGCAAGTAGTCAGCTCGCAGAGTATCTGTTTACTGCTTAACGTCTTGTGTTATTCTTTGGGTGCGTACGTATATGTGCTTGATGTTTCATGCCGCTGGCTTGATCCACTGACATCTCGAAGCAAATATTGGGTTGGTCGAAAAAAGAGTGCGTAGGTCCCATTTGTCTAGAGCCGACAACCAAATCGAAAACGTGATTCCAAGTTGTAAGGCTGATAATGAGTTCGACGGGGATTGATAGATCATGAGTGATGAGTGAGCGTAGCATAGCATGTGCGACAACATGGTGTCTCCCCTCCAAGCTGAACGATGAGTCAACATCATTTGATGGTAATTAGCCACCGGGTGTCATCTCCACCCTGTTGGGTAGTTTAGTTCTGAGCTGCAACTCGGTATTTTACCACCACTTATCTGTTTTCTGTCTTTTGCCCCCAACGATTTTCCTCTTCTCTCAGAACGTTGAACAGTTGAACTCAATGATATAATTGGTACTATTTTCCGAGAACTTTGCCATGCAATTGATGGCACTTAAGCGATGGGATCTCTTGTCAAGTGCCATCAAGAAGGGCGGAACAATTCCACCATTGGAAAGTTTCAAATAACGGCACTTAATGTCTTCTATGAACTTGAGCTGTCGAGACTCGAAGTTTCACGCATACCTGGGCATTCTTACATCTAATTCTAGGGCTACCGGGGAACTCCGCGAAGTTTCACAATCCGGTGACATCCTGGACGGCGTTCTCGCCATTGTCAGTATTTCGGCATCGTTGAAACCCCCCGACGTCATCATTTCAAAAGGCCAGTTTGGGCACGCCAACGTAGCGAAGCCTGTCTCATTTACGTAGGGCAATCGCGATCCCATGTTGTGAAGGCTGTCAACTCCGACGATATCATAGGGTGTCTGCGAGTTAACGAGACCAAGGAAGCGAAGAAGTATGTCCAATAGCGTTATTTTGCGAAGTCGTCCCTTTTGGCGTACCAGCACCGCCAAACATTTGACATCGAGGTCATGGGCTCCGACCCTTCGGAACAGAGAAGTATAGATACTTCGTAAAACCTCGAGGCAGGGGGCTTCTGCTTGAAACTTTTCGCGACAGGTCCTGGATGCTATTGTGTTGCAGACTCGTGTACATTTACATGCCCGCTTCTGGCACAACGAAACCTAGCTTAGGGTAGCCAAGAAGACAACCCGTATGGCTGGTTTCAGGACAACGAATGGTAGACACAAGTTTGTGTGGATGAACTGACGAGGAAATTTTTTGGCAGAACGTGGAGGTATTACATGCCTTACCTGATGGTTTTGACCGCTACATCTATAATGGTTAATAATGTACCTATGATATACCTACGGTGGGTTTATACGAGGTCGAGGATGTGACTTTGACTTACCAAGTTTCTCTTAGGAGAGCCGATCCACGAACCCGCATGCTCGAATATGAGTGGTCGAAGAGCCTTGATTGAAACAAATTTTTGTACCGGTCTGTCCGTGTAAACATTGCTATCGCAACATTGAACAGCCCATTCGTTTCCAGCTCAAATGCTCTCATACAGCCCATCGTTGAGTGGCTTCAGACCTGACATGAGAGGTTAGCCTAAACACAATTCACATGGAGTTGTAATCAGCTTATGAGCGACGGCACAGCAATCTTACATTGCACTAGGAACCGGACGCCATCCCAAGAGCTGACTGGCTGTTGCAAGGGCGACTGCCACACCTGTGGGAGTGCAATGCCTTTCTCGTCGACAAATTTCGGGCGGATTTCTTCAAAAGTCAAAGACACGTTTGTCGCCATTAGCGAGTAGTGATGGGAGTGCCCCCAAAGGAGACACGCTTGTGGAAAACCGACACCGGGATCCCACAACAATCTGAGAGCCTATGAATAATCATGCAAAAACTGTGATGTTATTTCAACGAAAGTTGTACCAGAAAAGGCTACTGGTTCCAGAAATTACCAAAGAGGAATAAAACACTCACGTTCGGGACGGGCCGATCTATGATCTCACCGTGGCTGAGCGCGTATATCATTGGTAGCAAGCATCGTTCGACCAGCCCATTATCTCTCCCAAAGACCATCATGACCACATCTCTCGACCTTCTCAAACAAACCGGAACCGTTGTTGTCTCCGACTCCGGTGATTTCGAATGTATGTTCGCCATTCCATCCTGTTGATCATACCCTGATATTCTGGCTAATCTTATCAGCAATCGATGTTTACAAGCCACAGGTAATAGCTGCAACGAATCTATGTTTAATGCACCTGTAATTAAACAGCATACTGTTAGGATGCTACTACAAACCCATCCTTGATCTTGGCTGCTGCCAACAAGCCAGGATATTCCCGCCTCATCGATGCCGCCGTCAAGATCGGCAAGAGCAAGGGCGGTAGCCTCGAGCAGCAAACTGATGCTGCTATCGACCGTCTGGTCTGTCTTTGTCAGTCTTGCGCTGATGCTCTTACTAATCAATATTTATAATCAGCTTGTCGAATTCGGCAAGGAGATTCTTGCTATCATCCCTGGCCGTGTATCGACGGAAGTCGATGCCCGTCTCTCCTTCGACAAAGAGGGTACCAAGGCCAAGGCAAGTGATTCTGTCGCATACATTGACTGGCTTCTTATTTTATGTATTCGCAGGCTAAGGAGCTCATTGCCCTCTACGAGTCTGTTGGTATCAAGAAGGAGCGTGTTCTCATCAAAATCGCAGCGACGTGGGAAGGTATCCAGGCCGCTCGTGAACTCGAGCGTGATGACAACATCCACTGCAACTTGACCCTTCTTTTCGGTTTCGGCCAGGCTGTCGCTTGCGCTGAGGCAGGTGTCACCCTCATCTCGCCCTTCGTCGGTCGTGTATGTCTCCATCACTTGTCTAATCTATGTTTTACCGATTGACATCTTTCATTCAGATCCTCGACTGGTACAAGAAGTCGACGGGAAAGACCTACGAGGGTGATGCAGACCCTGGTGTCCAGTCCGTGAAGAAGATCTTCAACTACTACAAGCAACACGGCTACAAAACCATCGTCATGGGCGCTTCCTTCCGTAACGTGCGTATTTGTTCGCTCATGCAGCATCGCACGAGTCTCACTCGGTTTGCAGGTTGGCGAGATCAGGGCCCTCGCTGGTGTTGACTTCCTCACCATTGCCCCTGCACTGCTCGAGGAACTCAAGAACTCGACCGAGCCCGTTCCCAGGAAACTCGACGCCCGTGCTGGTATGTACCCTTCTAGTTTCCATGTACCAAACGGCTAAATCTCTTCTTCAGCTGCACAAGCCGAGCCTATGGCCAAGGTGTCTTTCGTCGACAACGAGCCTGAGTTCCGCTGGGCTCTTCTCCAGGACTCGATGGCATTTGACAAGTTGCACGAGGGTATCAAGAAGTTTGCTGAGGATGGCGAGACCCTCAAGGGCCTCCTCCGCAAGAAGTTGAGTGCTTGAGTATGGGGCGATTTATAACAAGGCAACGAGTAGTGATAATAATACTGTAGTTCCACATCAACAAAATTCACCGCCAGTTGTGTATTGTATTTGGCAATAGACTTTTTGTTTCATTACATATAGCGGCGATAAGGCTCGATGAGTGTTCAGATGTTCATGAACATGATCCATGAACATGATCCATGAATGCATATATTGCGTGTGTGCAATTAGAACGGGGCATACATACATGTAACTATGTTGCGATAACAGGCAATGAAATTGACGATCTAGAGACGTAAAATAATCTGAGAAGTGGCATTTTTTGTGCGTTATGAGACACCATTACTAGAGACAAGACTGTACAAGAAACACGATCAGAACACTTTGCTTCCCTAACCTTACACAGCATGACTCACCATACAGGTACACTTCAAAGAAGCATGCAAAAATGAACGGACGATCGCAATATCGATCGATCATTCAGAGAGCCGACACGCCCTCCTCCCACTCCTCCCTCGTGACGGATCCCAAATCACGGCACACTGGGCATGACACCTCCACGTACGGTTCCGCTTTATCTTCTGCGCCCCATCCAGCAACGCGCTCCGCACTAACCAAGCACGCAGGGTGGAATGTATGCGCGCACAAAGATCCTTCTCCAGGATGTGACAATGGATGTATCGAGAGCTGTTTCATTGACGCAGCCAGTATTTCAGGGGCGGGGTCTTCGTCAGACGGGCCAATACCACACGAAGGATCGTAGCACCGTAGGCCCGCCTCGCGCTCCTTTTGCTCCACGCGTTGCCGCAGAGAGGGACCGGGGGCGGCGGGCAGCATCCATGTCTTCCTCTCGCGGCGCGGAGGCATAGGGCGCGTCGGGCGAATGGGGTGCGCATGCGGGAAGTTGAATGGTGGCACCGGCAGGGCACCATTTAGAGGGGGCGCATTTGGAGGAACCTGTGCTCCATCAGCAGGTGGCTCTTGCCCTTGTGCAGGCTGAGAATGCCCCTGTGGTACAGCGGGTCCATTGGTGAAGATCGGAACGGGGATGAAGGTACGCGTAGCGCTTTGAATGAGATTATTGATAAAGTTTTGGAACTCCTGGGGCACCTCGCCGACAGCTGGTGCTTGACCTTGCCTTTGCCCTGGAACTGGCCCTGGAGTTTGATTCTGGGGCTGCTCCTGGGCCTCGTTTTGAGGCTGAGGCTGTTCCTGTGACTGCGGCTCCCCTTGTGACTGGGACTGCCCCTGTGTGGGAGGCTGCTGCTGTGGCAGTGGTATACCTCCAGGCAACGATTCGTCGAAGAACAGATCGAGGCCGATGGTTAAAAATCGCCCGCTTGTGGACCGCCGGTGGGACGGTTATCCGCGATGTTAGGAAGCGACTGCGTACGGGTGCGAGGAAATGGAGGTGGAGGTGGCGGCATGGGGCCTGCCCCAGCAGGAACAGCTCCTGTTCCACGACGAAGTAAGTCCTGGAAATTCCCCCCGCCAGGAAATTGTAGGATATGTACAGTGGCTCCAGGTCCAACAGGCACGCCATTCGACAGGTTGAAGCGCTGCTGACCAGGGTTGAAGAAATTAGCGGGAATCTGGTTAGCTGCAGGCTGAGGCGCTGGTCCAGCTGCTACTGCTGCTTCAGGGGCGGCGGGTCCTGCAGGCGGAGGAGCGGCTGCGGCTTGCTCGGCAGTAGGAGCTGGTATGGGTTGTGCTGCATTAGGCACAGGTGTGGTACCTGCTTGCGCAGCAGGAGTAGCACCGTTTGCTTGTGGGGTTGGACGGGGCGCTCCAAAGTTGAAAGGATGATGAGGAAGCGGCGAACTGGTAAGGTTCTCAGGATCAATGTTGAACCGACATGTTGGGCACGTTGCTTGCTTCGCCCTCGTAAACCAGGGGAGCAAACATGATTCATGGAAGACATGGGCACAAGGAAGGGAGATGATTTTGGGTGCCTCAAAGACAGATGTTTCTGACGGAGAGTTGGAACTGGACGGTAGGTCAGAATCTGTCGCTCCAGTAGGTGGCTCCTCTGCAGCTTTCGGTTTGAAGCTATCACTCTCGGCATCCAGTAAAGTATCCCAACAGATTGCGCATCCCGGAGTGGACGAGTCGGTAGTCTCTGTACCATCTACATGACCACCAGGCGCGCCACCAACTCTCTCCAAGCGCTTTACGAGCCCTACGGGTACGGTCTCCAGACCTGCAATGAGTTTCTTTGCTCGTTCAGGATCTTCTCGACTATCATCAAGCCCTCCGAATTGTTGCATTTGCTGCAAAAAATCTGCGAATGCTTGGAGAAAATCATTTTGACCTCCAGCAGCATCTGGTTGCACGTTCGCTGGACCGAATGGGGGTGGGGCAGGACCACCTCCATTCTGGTTCGGAGGACCTCCAACAGGTATGGTGAAAGTGAAACCTGCAGTTAAGACAGGCATGGCATGATGAGCATGACCAGGGATTGGATTATTTTGCGGTTGCGGAGGATGGGCAATGCCCTCACCAGTCTGTTCTACCGTGATATTCTCAGCGCCAGGTCCAGCTCCCGGAGTTGCATTACCACCAGGCAATGGATTCATCCCAAATAAGGGAGCCAAGAAGCCATCTAAGAACGCCAGGTTGCCGGCAGGTGGGTGCTGCTCGGGGTCAGACGGCTGTGGAAGAGGCAAATGAGGCGAGGCAGGACGACCTACACGCTCTGAGGGATGCCTGCGATCCCGGGCTTCGTCTACATCATCCTCTACCCGAGCACGTCTACTCCCGGCGATAGGCTCGAGCGGTGGTAGATCGTCTTCATCATCCGTCCAGTCACTGTCGTGGTCATCATCGACAGCCAGGAGATTGGGTATTGTTTCTGAATGAGAGGACTGGCTGTCGTCTGACTCATCAGAGTCTGATACGGAGCGCAGCTCAGGCATGGAGTCTTCATCGTCATCGTGGGTGGACTGGGCTTGTGAGGATGAGGTGCTGGAAGCAAGTGGCATGTCTACGTCTTCTGCGGATGGTATAGACTGGGAGGTTTCAGTGGGGAGCGGAAGAGCAGAAATTTCTGGAAGTGGAGTCCTGTTAGGATCCACAGCAAGCACGTGAGCGTCTATAGGCTCGGGCGGGAGCGCGTCAGACATGACGACTTCCTGTGTAGAGTCCTGTTGTGCAGGATGACCATGATTATGGGAGAAAGCCTGATTTATATTTCGAAATACGTTCTGAATTGACGTTGGTAGATGGAAGTTGTGACCAAAACGATGACCACGACCATCGTCGTTACCGCCGTTGCTGTTGTCCATGGCAGATCTGAGAATGCGCCCTACAGTGTACGCAGTCGCAGAAAAGAATGTGGTGGTGGTGCTGGTAGCAGTGGTGATGGCAGTTGTAGAACAAGGATGAACGAACGATTGTCTCTTGGACCAGGGCAATCTATGCACAGTGCCGTATTGATGACCAATGCTGTGTTAATGACTAATCACATCTAGTAGTAAGCACCAGAATATTCCGTTTCTCATCGAGTAACTTAAGTTAACAGGGGAACCTCATTCATGCACAATAGGTACCTACAAGTATTATATAGAGGAGACGAACAATTTAATTCGGTTTCTCACTGCGCCTTCTTTCCTTTTCCTTTCCCTTTCCGCTTCTGCTTCTGCTTTTTGACATACTTGCGCACACTCGGCACGCCGAACTATATTCTCGGCTTCAGCCAACGCCAAAGACATAAACACACAATGAACAAAGGGCACGCACCCTGATCGCCGGATATAACACCAATAAGATTCCTCCGATCATCCATGCCCACCGAACATACAATGGAAGCGGCTCCGTAAACTGACCCTTGCTCCACTTAGTAATCACTAGAAGTTCGGTGAGGATCGTGGCTAGAAGGAGCCACACATGTTGCCCCATTCGTTTCGCTTTCCTAACAGCGCTAAAAGTGAGGCGATATTCGATAATCACTTACATGATACATACCTCGGGTTGTTTATGTATTGGTAAAGCTCTCGTACAGCAGGCAATGCACAAAGAAAGACGCCTGCCAGCCTTAGTATCACAATTGGATGATCGGGCTCCATCCAAAGGAGACTCTACGGTTTCCGTGAGAATGGCAACCAGGGTAACCAGCATATCAGCATGCTGACCTTGAGATAGAATGGGTTCAGCTCCGCAGCAAGAAAGACTGCTAGGAGCAATACGACTACCACATAGTGTATGAATGATGCAGTCCCCTCCCATTTGAATGCCGTCCAATCATGTGGGGAGAACTGGCTAAGCACCCGGCGAGCCTTTGATCGCAGTCCCCTAGTTTGCCGTAGACCACGCCACTCGTAAGGCTGAAACGTATGTGTATTTCAAGCGGTTGCAGGATAAACGGAGATAGTTACTCACCTTCACTTCCAAATACTGACAAGTCTTCATGCCTGTTTTGTCGCATCAGCATCCCCGATATTTCACATCCGAAATTCCCGAAACTCACCCAGATAAGTTCCTAGCCAGTTGCAGACTAGAACATCGAGTATCCACTGCGGAGGCAAAATTATCGAGTATCAAGTCTACAGAAACGATAGCGTACATGGTCCCACCAACACTGTCGATTAACAAGTTTGTTTAAATGAATGTTAATAGGCATGGGGCAGTTCCAAGGGACACACCTCTGCAAAGTTCGCAAGTTGGTGTTGTAGGCTATACTCTGCGAATTCAAATGCAATGCTCAGAATCTAAGGGGCTGAGATGTAGACCCTTTTGAAATGGAAGATAAATTAGGAATACCCAACAAAACCAATAATCGCGCAGTATCATGGCCTTGCCAAACCAGCCCAGAGCATGCGCTAGACAAAATATGTCGATTGCATCCTGTAGACTGATCAATATCACAAAACCTTGTAGCAATGATAAAAATACCTCACCCATATGTTCTGCGGTGTTAATTCGCAGTTTTCCGCATAGCTCTTCTCAGGCAAAGGCCGGTTTAGTGAAGGATCCAAAAGAGTCATCATGCGTCGCGCAGAGTTTAAATCTTGGAACAACAGGAAGACGAGAGCAAGCTCATAAAGTAAATTAACTCCGAGTATTGCACGCCAAAATGCAGGGTGGGGGCGAATGAAGGGTCCATCCCTGAATTGGATCATCGAGAACATGAGGAATGAGACTACTGCAGCATAAGCGCCCCTATTGAATAATGTTGGCGTTACTATCAGACCATACACAAATACATCATTGAAACGCACACACGCCGTTTGTCCCGGCCTTCTTCCAGGACGTCCTGAGTCATGGCCACATAGCTCAGTGCAGCCAGACCCAAGCCCAGCGCAGTGAGTGTGATTGGCTTGTAGAAGAACCTGACTCAAGGCCGTAAGCAAGAAAGACTATCAAAATGCTTGCCACTCACTCCACAGAGGTATCATGCAACTCTTGGAAAGGCACGATTCGCGTGTACGACTCCGTCCTATCCGCCTATGTCATAATAATAATTCCCACTTAACCTCTAAAATTAAGTGCAAGTTCCAAATTCGTCCACTCACATCATACCCTATGGAGAACGCTCAAACTGTGGATCACCGGAAAAAAAACTGGAGCCACTCACAGCGAACGGGTTTGCCACGAAGCCCAGGTTCCGGCCGAGCATCGGGAGGCGGCGAAAGCAGCGCGTCGGGATCTGATTCTTCCACTTGAGAAGTGGGCGATATATTCTCAGCTTCAGACGCCATCACGATGTAGATGATGGTTTGAACGCACGCACAAGCTGGCACGAACTAGCTGTAAGGCAGGCGACCCTGGCCCGGGCCTGGCCTACCTGGCTTTGTTGACACGTGAGCAAGGTTACCAATCAGGATCAATTTTGATGGAATTTCGCTTTCCATGGAACTAAATTCCGAACAGAACCGCTGAGTGATAGCAACTCTCCCACTACTATCATACTTTGTCAACCCTGCTAAAGAGAAGGAAGACGGTCATCCCTTTATTTCGCAAATGCCAGACCATGTCGAATCACACAGCCTTGGGCGTATCGATGACGAACAGGGGAAGAATCTCACGAATCCAGTGCGCAGGCGGAATTCGAACAAACGACGAACATATGCAATTGTGGTCGATACGGGAACTAATTTATCATTCCTAGGCTTCCGTGGTCTCTGCCAACGATATATGGGATGTCACTGCATCATTGATCAATCAATCGAACGTTTTCATTTGAAAAGGCACAAGAACATAAAGTCATCGGTCAAGGCCAGGTACTGATGGCCTGAACTGTACGGACAAATACTTGGCGAGAGATCTCGACCATCACGACCGCCGCCGTAGACACTTTGATTCATCGAAATCCAATCAATACGCGCCTTCATGATCATGCGACGTCAATATGCCTCGATTTGCTACCGACCTGCAAACCAACTGCCAAATCATCCCGCAGATATAAATATCGCATTGACCAGGAATGAAGGGTCTTATTCTGCTCGTCCTGTTTTGTTGTAAATGCTGACAGAATATTCTTTGATTAGCGCCTGGTCGCTTGCCATAAGTCGAAGCTGCATTTGCAACGGTGAACTCCAATTTGAACTGTCGGCATTTTTCACCCTTCCCCGGTTAGTACACTGTATTGCAATCGTCTCTCAACCATACACATCTCAGAAGGACAATCATTACCAGACAAGCTGTGTAGTCGTAACTGATGATGAGTGACCGTACTGAACCACTATCAAGGGCTGACCCATTTTTATCCATATCTGTTGAGATTAATTCATTTTCTCATCAGTCGCGTCAATTGAATTCTCCGACGGCATTACGCTGTGCCAGCAGTTGCTAGATATTATTCGGATCTCCGGCCGGGCCTACCGGGACGACCATTATCATTCGGATGCTCCTCGTTTCATTTCGCTAGCCTTGCGAACTTTGAACGCATTATGCATTGCATGACTTCATGTTATTCGAGCTCTGCGATCTTCTGCTCCACATGTTGTGGGGCATCCCCAGCCTCGTTTCGAGGGACGACGCCTTGTGAGGTTCGATACCTCCGTTTGCGTAAGCGGGATGGCGAACAGAGAAGTCTGATGAATATCTGTTCCATGACACACTTGACACATTAATGTCAGAACCAATATTGTAATGGACGCTATTTGATACTGAATCCTGATCGGTGAGAGGTCTATTCTCCGAGTGCTTCGCTTCGGTGGTATCAGACAATGTTACCATCCGTCCCGGTAGATTTAGTCCATTCCTGATTTGAGGCAACGGTACATGAATTAGGAGTATCGAAACTGGTTATGTAATGCAACTTAAAGCAATTGGAGCAAAGCAACAAGGCGCAACTATCTCAGCTAACAACAAAGGATTCGATCTAGGCGGTGCTTATCTATCCAGCCCAGTCTAGCGTCCGACGGGTCGAACTACAAATCCATCGGGCATCGTAGCAAAATTAAACATTCGATCGTCGTAGGGTTGATGTTTTGCCAAGACAATTGAATATTGATTGTCGATCCCAATGCGATCCCATCAGTCTGGTAAAACGGTTGACCTTTGTCTTCTATCACTGGGCAATAGTACTAGCGTCCCTGCACATCTTGACATGCCGTTCTCTGCTTCATCTTGTACCATGTCTTCTCGAAATTCTAGAAGCTCATCAATACGAGGTGGCCTAGTAGCCGCTGGCCATGGTGAACTTTCCACGTAACCGGTAATCGAATGCTGTCCTCGGATTTCCTCCTGACGATCCTCGGCGCAGGAACGAGGTACCTGGATGTGCCAGCGTCATTTTGGCGATCTCACGCCATTGACGTCCCTGAAAAAACTGTGAGGGTGCGTGGCAAGGACCCCGGACAATACCCGTAGAACCTTGGCCCCGGAGTACGGGCCCGTTTCTGGAAAAGTCCGGCGCAGACTCGCTCAGGGGATCACATCATCTTCATCTTCATTGGAAACCTTGTCACTCCACGGGAGGCTCTTGGTAGACCCCAAAGATAAACTATGTTACCCCCTAAGTGGTCTCCACACTTTACCGCGATTTTGAGTTTGCTCATATGGCATTGCGCCCGTCAAGAGTAACAGCTGATCAGCAGCAGGTCTCTTGATACCCGAGGTGGGTGGTGCGCATGAATAGAAGTCGTTTAGCCGTAAAGTGCGTGTTGATAACAACGAAATGCGGTTGCCGCGGGAATCGAGTGAAATTCCTCGCGGAATTGTTAATGGTGAGTTTTGAAAGATTGGAGGGAGCGGCAATGGCGTGAGCGCTAGCAATGGCACCATGCTTACCCGTCGTGCTTGCCCGCTCCTTCCATCAAGGGGCTGCGATTTGATCACATCATGCTATAGGAATATGCTCAACTCGAAGTCCTGAGGGGGCATATATGATGCCAAAGTCGCGTAGAACCTGACACGAGTTGCCAAAAATGGCAAGGAAGGGTCAGCAGGGGCTGCATTAGCCGAATTTCTAGCAAGGGTGTGGCATCCCGAGCAGCTCGTTCAAGAGAACAGGCTTGCAAACAGCCTATTCTTGCTGCACCTTGAGTATTACGCGAAAATTACGAGTTATGTGGCGCCACGTCGAGACTCCTGATTCGGATCATGTGAGCTCGCAGGTTGTGCAATGCGTATGGGTTAATGCCAATAAGTTTACCCCAGGAGCCATGTAATGATCACGAATTCGAAGATGTAGTTGGCGTGATTCGCAAGAATATCGGCATGGTCAGTAGGAAGGACATGGCGGCAACGTAGCATGTAACGCGAGACTTCTCAGCCAGGTGACTAAAGCTCTGTCGCTGAATGGTCAGGCCTTCAGGAGTGGCCATTGTCCTCCGTGGTCGGACTCTGAAGTTTGAAGAGAGAAGCATAGAGTGAGAGCAACCGCGTTTATCCGGACCGGAGGGGGAAATCAAGATCTGGGGTCCTTGGCGTGGAAATCCAGTCTCGCGGGATTTTACCAAAGTCATCAATATCAATGATCATTAAGGAACCTCGACCTCGAACTTGTTAACGACGTTGATGTGACCACCCCATGTGCTCGAGAATGTACTGATACTGCGGTGGTATTCATTTCAACCGGGCGTCTCGGAAACTGCCTTGTGGACGACTGAATACGTGACGTCGGCTGATTCCGCGACGGGCACAAGAAATCGAATTCGGTCTTCTCCATGACTTGGTTCTCAGTGATCAATATTTTGCCTAGGTTTTTCCAATCTGGAGAACGGCTGGCAGAGATTGAATTGAGGCTATGATGATGGTGTCCACCTGACAGCAAGCCATTGACTTACTGTGTCAACTCTGGCCTGTTCGGTTCAACGTTGTGTTTACCGTCGTTCGAAAACGCAAGGAATCTCGTTTATACAAATACCTGATTCGACGAGGGAATCTGACCATATGCGTTAGCAGGGTATTTCGAAAAGGAAGATCAGAGCCAAAGATGCGGAAGGTTCGTAGTTCAAACTCAACTCTGTGGCTTCATGAAGTCTGTCTTGCCGACTATAGCGGATCCTTTATGGATGGATATGTGGAGTCGCTTTCCTCCGACAAGTCACGGTGACCGTTCAGTAATGGGGCGGGCGATGCCTCTCCGAGCTAAGACGTAAGGGGGCACCGTGTCCGTCCGGATACCACTCTCCGTATAGGGGAGCAGGCCGAAAGGCTATCCAATGAACGAAAATGAACGGGGTGTCGTACGCTTAAAGTCATGGGAGTTCCGATGGCAGGACATGAAGACTTGGAGGTGAACGCCTGTGAAACGACATTTAGACGTTCACGTTATTGGGACCTCAAAATTCCCCCGTAAAGATGGTGAAATTCTCAGGTGAATGACGTCGGGTGCAGTCACGAGTGATCCGTGAAACGCGACTAGATCTTTATGCTTCGTATGTATTCAAATTGACGGTGAACTAGGAGACGGCGGTGTTCGCTGAGATCTAACTTTCAGTTCACATGAGGAGGGGGGGGCTAATCAGATTTCCGAGGTTCACAAGTACTGCTTTTGAATTTAGACTCTACTTGTACGCTTGAGTCCAGATTCGGTAGTCCAGGTCTACGCTCACACGTTGTATTTATGTCACTGGAAGGCAACCTTGTACAGGGCTGAGACCAGTTTTTGCGAAGAAGTCTACATCAGCCCGAGGTGATCTGGATCTCCAAGATCAGTTACTTAATGCGCCGTGAACACATAAGTAAGACTAGCTTTATTCTCTTAAACTCGTTTCAACTCTTTCTTTCCTCGCTTCGCCTCGCCTCTTTTTTATCTTGAATGTCCTCTGATTCTTTTCAACCTCCACTTCAACTGAAAGGCGAAATCATGGATCTCGAATTCACAGTCGATACTGACCATCGCAAGAGAAGACGCAATAGAACAACTCAGTCATGTCTTAATTGTCATACCTCAAAGCGCAAGGTTCACTCAATATCCCCCATCAACCTTCTAAACCTCTGACCCAAAAATTAGTGTGATAGAAAACGTCCATGCCAGCGATGTATACAACTCGGCTTAGTACGCACGTCCTTTTCGCCTCTTTGATTACATATTCATTCCTCGTTTTTTCAGACTGGCCTTTGTGTCTATGAGATCGATGACCCCGCACTAAGGTTTGTCTTTTTTTGTAGCGTCTCACTACCTCGAGCTTATCTCATATAACTCAGAGATGATCCCACGATCGATGAAGCCACTCGTTTGAGGAACAGAATCGCAGAACTCGAAAGTCTCGTCAGGGAGTTGCGTGGTGCGTATGCCCTTTCACGCACTCGCAGTCCCTATGCAGCATTTCTTACATGTCTGTTTTACGGCAGGGAAACCACATCCTCGTTGGGCCGATGCCAATTTCCGAGACGGAGATCCATCTGAAAGATGGCATTCACGAGCAGCAAAGAACAACATGCAACTCAGACGGCGCGGTCGGTCTGACGACGTACTAGAGCGCTCCAACCAAGAACCCCGGGGCTTGGTTTCTGCCGCTGGCGCGCCCATCAAAATTGAACCCGTAACAGACATCTCTCAACCCCATCTGTATCGCTTTACACCATCCCCTCCGGCTTCCTACTCCGCATTTCATTCCGATAACTCTTCATCGCCACCATTCGAGCGTCAAAATGGTCATCATTACAGCAACAGCTTGCCTAGTAATGGGCGTTCCATGCCGTATTCATCCCCCACATCCAATCAGAACATGACGTATAGCCATCACCATACCGACTCCTCGTTTCAAGAAAACGGTCACGTCTATCCGATGAACTCCGCCGAACAAGATAAAGTTTTTGGCAATCATTTCGCTGACTCCCCCGTATCGCATTCTTTTTGTTCGTGCCGAACAAATCCTGCCACCGGTCATGCCCTCATATCTCTGAGTCATCAACTGCAAAGTACACTGAACTCCTTAAGGCAGTATGCTCAGCATCCCGAGAACACCCAGTGCCAGCTGTTCAGGCGCATCATCGAATTGCATGATCTCATGCGGTGTGTTGTCCCTGCCTTGCCTCGCGGCGACCTCGTGTTCATATTAACTAATTTGTTTCTGGTGAGAACTAGTGGTAATGATCCGGATGAGGCATCGGGATCACCATATGGAACACTTCCCACACCTACCGAAAGCGACATTTTGTCGTCGCATTCGTCCTCAAGTACCCCGTTCCACGGATCCTCATCAGCTTCTGTATCAGAGTGGAATGCCATGGCTTCTTCGAGATATAACCCATACTTCCCCGTTTCCCCAACTGAACAGGGTCTGTATAGTAATATCATCACATGAGCGGGCATCCGTTCCATCGTGAGCTAGTCCTTGCAGCCCCATTCAAATATATTCACTTTCGTCATGCTGGCTGTGACGATCACTATGATGCCTTTAGTATCTTGTGCCTTAGAGTAGCAAAACTACAGCACTTGTATATTACATGCCCTGTACTATCATCATACAACGTGCGGCGAACCACATAGACATCATTAATGAACCGGTTGCAACATAAAACGAAATTCACGCTGTGAAGAGTGGTCCGACAATACAGGCTTGGCATCAACGAGTTTCCACATATCTCTCTCGATAAACAACACTTCTCCGGTTCTTTTCACTAGTATCACCGTCGAAAGACGCGTTCCATAGAATTCCTGCGACCCTGGTATTTTAAATGCCTCCACTTGTACTGTGTTCCTCAACTCTGAGCGTGCGCTTGGCGGCTGCGAAGACTTCCAACTGGGAAATTCGACCAAAGTAAGTGCAGAAGGGCTAGGCTGCTGCGTGCTTATACCCACGTCAATAGCTCAAAGAGGTCGTCGGCTAGATCCTTCTCCGGCGTAGTCGACGAGACCGCCTTCATGATTGATTTAAACAAATGAAGCCCGTGTTGGATTTTCGGCCACGTTTCAGCACCTTTACCATCAATGCCGTTTGACATCCCGCCGTGTCTTCTCTCGGTATCAGTCAACGGGCGGACAATGAGTGTTCCTCCTCCGCCATGGTTCGTGACATACGTTCCATCGAATATCAAGTCGTGTTCGCCACGGGTAGATGGTGTCAAGAGTAATAAATTAAAACCTGCATATTTAGTATCGGGAGAGATAAGACTCTGTACGTCCTCTTCTGAATTGGACGAAAGAAAATTGGCAACGAGGTCACCCCTGGAAGAACCATACGTCTTGTACTCTTCTGTGATGTTTGTTCTGTGAGAAAAAAAAATTGTCAGGGGTGTGCAACCTGGTGAAGCGGGTACCGACAAAAAGGCAAGTCTTCCGGACCGATTGACACCCAACCAGGTTCCACCGGCACGAACGTCAATGCCAGAGAGAATATTTCCCTCTGGAGGGTCATCATGATGTTCCTTTGGCTTATCGAAGGAGTGAAAACAAGCGGGGTCTGTGGGTCGTTCGAGGAATTCGTCGCGGTTGCTGCAAAGTACGCTTTAATTTTTGCCGCATGGCCATGGTCATGTCATGATAACGTATAAGATAGAAGGGGCGGGGACGTACAGGGCATATTCCGGGTGCTCGAGCGTGTAAAAACCAACGCACATTCTTGATGGTTATTTCAGGCGCAAGTCAATAAGGCGCGATGACATGACTGCGATTATCGCTTCAGCATCAAAAATGATATCTGATGGTTCGCAGCGCGCTACTTGCAATATTAAAGATGATGATGTTATGAGGTCTAGGTTTATGATGGGTCCTGTGAACGCATGTGTCATATAGGAAAAGTCGATACCAACCTTTGAACTCGACGTCGGCTGTTCTTACTGACGATGATTCGAGTGTTCCTCAGCTTGAGAATCTAACAAGAGAGAATGCGCAACCTGCAAGTGACGAGGATTAATGACGATTCTCACGGACTCGGTCTCTCCAGCCAAAGGCTAGTTCGTTCTCACGTGCACTTGACGTTCACGCGGATGCAAAAAGTTTGATCGCCGTCGGGGCCAAACCATACCTTGACAACTCGAGCCGCGCTGCCGCAGGATCTTTCACCCCGCCCTGAACTCATGCAGCCTCGGACCACGGTGATATTGGATAATGGTGCCTCTTCAATCAAGGCTGGTTTAGCCAGAGGGCCTGAGGGAGACGATGATGACCAGCCCAAGTAAGAGTGTCTGCTTTTAAGAACGACTTGACGCTAGAAGAAACTCGAGATTGATCCCAAACGCTATCGTGCGCTCAAAAGGTGATAAAACAACGTATTTTGGTCATCAGTTGGAACGATGTCGAGATTATTCTGCTCTTCATTACCGCCTGCCCTTTGAAAAGGTTCGTGATCAAAATGACATTTTTATATACAAATTTGTCATTATCTGTGGAAGCACTGCAGGGTTATCTAGTGGACTGGGATGCACAAAAAGCTGTTTGGGACGGCGTGTTCTCGTCCGAGGTTCTGAACGTGCGTGCCTCCTGTGGTTTTGGCTGGACGAGCGCTGACTTGGCATCTAGGTGGACACCGCCGAGTCGTCATTGCTCATTACAGAACCGTACTTCAATCTACCAAATATTCAAGATGTTTACGATCAGTTTGTCTTTGAGGAATACGAATTTTATTCTTATCACAGATGTACACGTAAGTTGGATCGTTCCGACCCTCTTCGCATCATTTAGCTTTTTATAAGCGGCTGCAACAATCCCCTTTGGCCGTCTCTTTCAGGCGGGCGGACCATCACCCGAGTGCCTTGTTGTTATCGACTCTGGGTTCAGCTTCACGCATGTAGTACCCATAATCAACAATCAAATACAGTGGTATGCCGTGAAGAGGTGAGTTATATAAATCGACTAGAAGATTACCGCTTATATGGTTAGGCTCGATGTAGGCGGCAAGTTACTAACCAACCAGCTGAAAGAACTCGTGTCATATCGCCAGTGGAATATGATGGATGAAACTTACATCATGAATCACGCCAAGGAGACATGTTGTTATGTGTCCACAAGATTCTTCGAAGACCTGGAGACCTGTCGGTAAGATTATGTCCGTTTAGTGATGGCGCAATTACCTCACCCCTGAAAGCTCGAATCCTAAAAAGAATAGCATAGTTCGGGAATATGTACTGCCAAATTTCTCGATCAATAGGCATGGCCATGTCAAGCTTCCCAACGAGGAGTTATCCGCCACTGACCAAGTCCTCCACATGGAAAATGAGCGTTTTACAATTCCCGAGCTGTTATTCCGTCCCGATGACATCGGTCTGTTCTAATCTCTTGTACACCACACCGCCATATGAAGTATATCTACTTAGGCTTAGAACAATCTGGATTGGCGGCAACGGTGGCTGCATGCATCGCGCTCCTTCCACATGACCTCCGAGGGATGTTTTGGGCGAATATTGGATTGATCGGTGGTAGTACCAACTTCCCAGGATTTTACGAGCGATTGTAAGGTTTTTTATGTCATGTCGTATCAAATAATAACTGTGCGCAGGTCATCTGAACTGTTGTCACTTACACCGGTCGAATATGATTTGCAGATCTACAGGTCAGATGAGTGCGTCCGACGTTCCCTGATCATCTAAATGCCCAATTTGACAAAATAACAGCGCCACAACTGAAGCCTATCGCTCCGCAATTGCGTTTGTGAATGATCCTACATTCTCGACGCAGGTTGTTACGAGAGAGGAGTATCTTGAGGTCGGTAGCAATGCTTCGCGAAGGAAATTCCCTGGGTGGCAGTCATCGTCTGCACCCAGTGCGGACGCCGATATTAGCAAAATCACTCAGGAGTCAATGATCGAAGATCGGGGGCAGCTCAGCCGCAAGCCTAGCCGTTCACGAATGCGCACGACCACCGCACCGGGCCGACGCAGATAGTGGCGCGCACACTTTCGGTATTTACGGGTCAACTACGACCAGATGCTGTACATTTACACTTAAGCCTTAGCACTTTCGTCGGCACGCACTAATGTCAACTTTCAACCTTGTATATTTCCTGATTTACATATCGATCATAGTATCCAGATACATGTTACATATGACTTCCAACGGGCGATTTAGGCTACTCGTCAAGAGCACTGGATTAGTGATCCCTTGGCGTGCATCCTGCGATGATACTAAAAATCATTTCTCGTTTAGTCAAAACCAGGAACAGATCAACAGACATGAGTCACCTTTCAAGGGAGTCGACGTCTCCAACGAAACACTGAGGTTCCATTATGTCCGGATGATTCCTAATGTCAAGCCAGATCTCAGCTGGCAAAGCGAACTGCGCCACCAAAAGCCTTCCTAGCATGTTCTTGGCTTCATCGTCCAATGTCGCATGGAGAGACTCCAATCGGCTATAGTCTTTTCCCGCCTTATCCTCGAAGAACTCGAAATCTTGGTCGCGAAGGTCGAATACCAGTGCAGACGGGTTTGTCTGATGGACGCGAATGCGAACTCCGAATGTGGTCCACTGCTTGAAGCCAATCCACGGGAACAAGATGCTCGTATGGAGCGCAGAAGCATCTACCGGTTCTTCGCTGCTGACAGGAAAAATGGGGATGCAGTGATTTACAACCGCCGAGGGCTGTGGCGCATATCTGGATACGAAATGAACGATCATTTCTTCGACCGTGCTGTCATCGTCTTCATTCCATCGGACGAACGCTGAAGTGACAAGTCCGAGATAACGCCCAGGAGTATACTGGCAGATTTTGCGGTATATGTCAGAGTCCTCTGGATATTCTTGCGCGAGCGCTGCTGTCGATAGTGCGAAGACTATGAACGTCCCTGGGCGTATTTTTGCGCTCGTTCTGGTTTGGGGGGACGTGGATGTGTCGAAGGATGATCTGAATGGGTCTGCTGATTGGCTCTCGGTGATGGAGTAGTGCCGATCGGAAAGAAAGTTCTCGAATGTCGTGTAGGCGTCAGCGCTAGACGGTATCAAGTAGGTGCTCAAAGGAGACAGTGGCGATAGTGATTCGAGGCGTGACATGTTGATAGACAGATGATGGTTAGTGCGATGCGCTCTACAGTGCTGCCGCTCTAATTTATATAGGGTTCTGAAGTTGAAGCGTTGTGGAAGACATGCTGTGGTATGAATAACATTTGCGCTGACGTTGTGGTCTAAGCGTTGCGGACAATGCGAATGCCTATGGATATTTTGTAAGCGTGTCTCACTTATTTTGCAGGTGATTTGACGAGTACCACACAAGCGTCTCGACGCTTGTGTGTCACGGAGGTCCGAACCATTCTATTTTGAGTATTTTACATGCTCGTTGCCAAGTTTGTCGACACCTTGCCTAGGCGTTGGTGGCCTTCCACACCTAGACTCGTGACCGTCTAGTCCACACCGTTCTAGTCGATTACCGTTAGGGTGCGTGTGCTATTCGTAGCTGTGCCATTTCCACTTGCAGATATCTCGGTTCGCGTACCAAGCAAATGAAATCTGTACACTAACCTCGAGGGAAGATCATGGTCTGGACCTCCCCTATCTCGACTCTTGTCGGATTTTCTGGATCACGGCGAATCTGCGCCCATCAAACACCACACGGGGGAACCGCTGACTATTTCAATTACGTGGGGTTCGATCATATGAAAATTCTGCAATGTCCAGTAACGAGGTATCATGATGTCATTCACATTTGGGGGGATCAATGTCTTTCTTCTAATTGGCATTTCGATTTTGACCTGGATCATTGTGCGGTACACATTGTGCATCAATTGCGTACCCTTATGAATAAGCAACGCCCACTGTCAACGTACAGCGTAACCGCTTATGAACCTTCCCGTTATTGCATGTTCAAAGACAATAATTTTGAAATATCCGTGAGACAGCTCGTTAGTTTTCTAGCGAATGCATACATGTCATCCTGACAGTCGGTTCTAAAAGTTCCGTTCTACCGATGTGTCTTCTTAGAATGTATATGACAATAAAATTCATTCAAATCAATTGAATCAACTAAAAAAATCATCATGTGCATCTTGGAGCTGTTCCCGACTCCGCCGTCGACCACTTCTGACTTCACTTCAGACCTCGTCGCTAGTGATCTTTGTCCTGCGCACTGTCCAAGATTAATAAACCCTCCCCGTTGTTGAATACTAATGAAGGCACTCAGCCTCATCTGCTGACATTTCTAATAGCAATCACTGCCTGATCATGTATCCCCCTTGAGTGTTCTACATAAAGATCATCCTGCATTTCAGCGTGCCTATTGCATGCATCCAAAATATTAGGCTTGTGACCTGTATCGGTGAAGGCTATTGGCGCAAAGAGCTATAAAAGCCAGCCCGAGGCCCCTCTCATCAGTACCCTAGCTGGGAACAGTGATGTTGAGGTAAGTATTTGTATGCAACACGGACATAATGTCCGCGACCAAGCAGATCCGCCCTCATACATGCACAATGTCCAAAGGCTGGAAAAGAGCAATGGTATTTGGTACGACTCTGGTAGATACAATGCTCGGCAGCCTGTGTGTGCAAGTTAGCGTCACGCTTAAGACAATCAGTACTCTCTTTATCGATCAAATCATTGAGTGGATGTACTTCACTATGCAACATCCCTTCTTCCGATCCATAGGATGAATAGCCCCGTTCCGACTATTCAGGCGGTTGAATTGGCAGGACAGACTCGGATGACTATGCAGATCTCGAGGCTCTACAACTTGGCTGCAGGAAAGGCACTTCAGCATCACTGACATGGTGTTGTATCTTTACAAATTGTTTCTCGGACCTGATGTAGATATTTTTCAAAAAAGAGTGGCCGCAAGTCTATTGTAATTGATGCGGCACAGAGCTGACCGGGACCGTTGATCGGTTTGATGTCTGATCAATTGATCAGCATGAACGGGACTTCGATTCGTCGCAGGTAGTCGATTGAACCGTTGACAACATTGAAGATTCAATCTATGTAAGCAACCGCGAGATTCCGTGAGATGCACCACTCTTTAAAGTTCCCACGGCACCAGCTGAACAAGTTATTCCCTGGTTCGCTCGACACGGGTGCATTGGTTACAGTTTTTACGACTGGCCTGGTTGGCGGTATCATGAAGCTAAGCAAGCAGCAGCCGCGCTACTATTGGAAGTTTTTTCTCCGTCATGATGATCCCCTGTCGTCACATATTCGTCTTCTCATTGATTCTCTGCAGTTTCTGGCTGGTAAGTATTCGTCTAGCAAAGTTCAAACTTTTTCTACCAAATCAAGTCACTTAGCAGAACGGCAGCATTTTGATAACAGCTTGCAAACGCTTGCGACATACGTATACGGCTATGTCTGGTAAGTAGTAGCAGAGCGTCACAACAGGTACGTTCCCGCCGCTTCTCGGCGCCGACCCTTGAGTAGTAGACTGGCCGTGGATTAGCACGTACGTTGGTACAAGGTGTATCATAAACGTCAGGTTCTTCATCGAGCCACTTCAAGTTCGCCTACACACTCCTGTGGGTCACCAGTCTTGTTTAAATCGAGTCGTTCCTGCAGTTGTAGATTCTTGTCATGGCTTTCCACCAAGGGAGAAAACATGATCTCAATACTGATTCTATCTTCAAGACATAGAGGCAGCTTTTCATTTCTAGCAGATTCTCAGCGACCTCGTAAAGTGGTAAATTTTTGCGGTGATTTGCACGTGCCGTTGTTTAATCAACAAATCATTATATCTTCCTCAATTTGAACTGTCCAGGTTCTGTATCATTGGCTCAGGCCCTCACTTGGTGCGGTATCTTTCTGACTTGTTTCTCATCCAGTTCTACTCGCGGATAGGACTTCTCAAAACGCCTTCGAGTTCATTGTGCGGCACATTGCGTGTCATGACAAACGCCAAGCATACGACGACGATCCCAGCAATGCGATCAATTTGATGATTTGTATGACAAAGTTTATGTTATTGTCAGATCACTTATCGAGGCTTAGAGTTCCATCTGCTTAACTGCGTGCATAAGTATTTCCTCTCGGTGAATACTTACTAGTAACTTCGGCCGAGTCCCACAAAGATGATTTCGGACCTATACCTGCAATAGCGGCTTTTGCCTACGGTGGTTCATGGACGGTCATCGTCGTCATCACTCTCACTGGCGATCTCACTTCGCTCATCATCTATCTGAAAGGTAACGTGCTCCGTCGTCCTTTCAGCAAAGGTGTTAACATTGCCCTTTAGTTCGACACTTGTTACAGCGTTTAACTTTCCTGCTCGACTCTAAGGTCGGTAGTAGGGCTACTCGCACGGACTATGCCGCTTACGAGCGAGCAGACTGATGTTTCCGGTCAGGGAGAATCACCCCACCGAAGTCAAAGGGAACTCAAGAGAGTTGGGAAGCGCAGCCGCGAGGTCGGGGCCTCCGCCGGAGGTTTAGCGCCAACGAGGTTTCCAAACGCATCACTTTCTTTGAAGTTCTTGATACTCGCAGGCGCGCGAACATAGGTTGTAATGAGGTGTTATATGATTTAGGTGGTCACTGTCGAGTAACGTGGTAGGCCAGACCAGTTGACAAGGGAACAAATGTATTATTTACAAGAGAAGGCAAAGGGAAAGTTAAACAACGTCACGGTATGAACTTGAGGTAGCAGCACAAAGTAATGCATCCTGCGCAAGTACCAAATACCAGCCTAGTAGTTAGATTTTAAGGGAATTCCAAGGGGACTTTGCAACGAGTAAGGATCAGATGCTCAGTAAGTAGAGGGCATTAGTAATTAGTAACTTACACAGAGGGGAATTGAGTTTGAATTTTTTGTTGTAGCACGTAATCTGACTGAGTAAAATCGTCCTCCCCTCCACACTCAAACTAGCGGATGGGAAGGAGCCTGGATCATATACCGACTTGATGATTCTGCGGATCGTCTACATGCACAAATTACGGAAAATAAGCAATGTCATCGCCGGCAACGGCGCCTAGTCACGTAACGTTAGCTAATCGTAAATTTCTCCAGATATCCCGGGACTTATACTGTCGCTGATACTGAAAGGTAAGCTTTCAGTATTTCACCTTTTGGTGTAATGGTTATGCGCGGGCGGCGGGCTGACCAATGTTATAGTTACCGCATTTGCCATGATCATGCAAAATGGGGAACGCTTGCTGGCAGTCAGTGCTGGCGACAGAACTTTCAATCGTAAGTCCTTCAGACCATCTCATGCCAACGTTTTGGATATTTTTTGACGCGGCGACATCCGAGTCCTGAGCAGCGGGTGACAATTGCAAGTCATATTATGGGACACTAACACCAGAGGAAAGGCGATTCTCTCTCATGCAAAATCCCGGTTGCATCCGATTTTCTCCAACTGGTCGACTCGACGCTGCTGATAAAGATATTTAAATAATGGGAATTGAACCAAACGGTCCCCCGATAGCGCCTATCTCAGTAGGCATCAACAATAGTGTCCTCTGCTCTTGGGATATCTCCATCTCTGAAGTCTGGACTATCATCACAAATTTATCTCAAACCCGGTTTGTACTGGTATCTAGCGACGACAAGGTTTACTTGTGGAAGGCACAGAAGTTGCTCGACATTAGTCCTCCTACGGGCTTCAGGTTGCGTTCTCGGTCGATGAACATCCTGTAATCAGCAGCAGCTATGACACGACAATCTCATGTTGGATGATGATGCCAGAGCACATTTTCACAGGAACGTGCGATGAAAGGATGAAAGGCCGATCCTTGTGAGGCAAAGATAACTGCGCTTTCTGACCTTCATATGTGGATTCTGACACTCAAACAGGATTTACTAGGTCTTGCGTACAAGCCATTCACTCTAAACTGTCCTGCTGACACAGAAAGCCCTTCACAATCTCGCTTGCTCAATGTCAGCGAGTCGTCATCCGAAAAGAAGAGCAAAGGAATGGAATATTCATTGAAATGTGGGTGCCCTAATGTTGATCACATTTGAATTTTATTTCATGCATGGTTGACGTGGAAGCTCCTCACATGTCACCGAACATTGGCCACGTCAAGTATCGCACGATGTATAGTGTCGGTACGATACCTTGAAAATATCGACAACTCGTAATCCAAGTCCACTGGCCCTGACCTGAAAATGTCACACTTGTTTAGGGAAGAGCCGACTGAGCGGACCTACCGAAATGTATAAAACCCTCTTGGATTTTCAGTGTAGTGCACGAACAAAGTATTCACTTCTACTATCCCTCAACATGCAGTTCTCTGTGCTCTTTAGTGCGCTCATATCTTTCGTCATCCTCGCTGCGGCGTCACCCACGCCAGGAGCCATCTCGAAACGTTCCTGTGAGTATCTATGATCATCAGCAGTATCATCCTATCCACTCAGATGCCACAATTTATCACTCAGTCAAGCGAGAGAACCTTGACATCAATTTTCCACGTGATCTCCTAGAAGAGACTAAGAAGCGCGAGCGCGAGTCAGAGTACGCATCTGCTGCTACGAGAAAGGAGCTCAATAACGGTCATTCTGAATACGAAGTTGTGCCTTGATGTGACAATTGGCATGGCTGTCTTGGAAGTATTTTCCGTTCAAACTATCATGGGCACTCTACTTACTGAGTATCTGATCCTTACTCGTTGCAAAGTCCCCTTAGAATTCCCTTAAAATATAACTACTTGGCTGGTATTTGGTACTTGCACAGGATGCATTACTTTGTGCTGCTGGTTGTATGAGATTGTAACACATGCAAGTAGTAACAGACATGTGTAAGATGTAAAAACTTGTACCGGAAGTGTGTGAAGCTTGTACAGTAACACACAGAAATGCATGAGATTGTAGCATGTATACAAGTCTTAGCAGACATGTACAAAATGTAAGGCTCGTACATGAAGTGTGATGGTATGTACAGTATAGGACCAGCATCAGGGAAAACCTCCTGTGCAAACCTAGCTAAGTTTGGATCCAACTTCAATAATCACTGAAATTTTTTCCTAATTACAGTGTTTAGCAGATTATCGAGACTCTTTTACCCCCCCTCTAACTTTTTCAAAATTAGACAATATTTTTGCGCATTGTACAGAATGTAGCATAAACTTAGCGCTAATGTTGCCAAGATTTTCTTGCATTCAGATTTATTATTGCTCACTAGAACTGACTCGTATACAAGAAAGAAATCAAGTTTTCATTAAAAAGAATGTAATAGTAAAGAACGAGTATATAACAATTTCAAGAGGTAATACTATGGAAATTTAGTCTTTTTACTACGGAGATTTAGTCCTTGTCCATCCTGTTGAGGTCAAGGAATGCAAGCACATCAGCTTCCGCATCAGTGGCGGAACTCTTGTGCTGCATGAGATCCCTTACAAAAGACTTGAGTGAATTTAAGGTGTACGAGAGAACAAGACTGGACATACTGTATTGCAGCGAAGATATCAGCCATCAACTTGTGGAATTTCTTGGGTGATTTTGCGCTGAGATCTTTCAGAAATTTGACATGGAAGAAATAGACCTTGCTAAATTGATTTCTGGTAAAGTTAAACTTGGCTGGAGCGCTGTGTGCCTTCCAGAAGAGTGCTGCATACACCTATATAGTCATTGTCAATATATCATCTTAGTGTTGATAGTGACAGGACACATTACCGAAGTGGCTGTCAAAGCAACCATTGGAATTGTGACCTCAGGCCTTTTGGCTTTATTCTTGGAAATATTGGAAAATCTTTTCACAAACACGACACCAACTGACTTTGATCCATTGAAATAATGGCCCTTCATGAGGTGAACCATAATATCACCCAGGTAGGGCTTGTTTTGCACTGGTTTTGGCACATCATCATCCTAAAATCATATGTCAGTAATAAGTCAGTACAAGGTGAATGCGAGTTGCGAGACATACATCAAACTTCATGAAGTAGTGGTAGTGGTGGTTGACGAGGAGAGCAGAAGCAGAAGCGGTACAGTTAGATCCTAAGCAGAGATAAGCAGTGACTTGATTGCAAGCCTTGTCCTTCAGATCACCATGAAACAATGGTACTCTAGCTTCAACCTGTAGATGACATGTGATTTATTAATAGATGACTTGGAGTGTTGTTAGAGCAAATTGATAGATTGACTTACCAGGCCTGCAAGAGCTGAAGCATACTCGTCATCAACCTGAATTTTCTTCTCGACAGATGAGGCACCATGGTCACGAGCTGCCTTGAGGAGTGATTGGTGTGAGAAGGATGCCTTTTCGGTTAACTCCGGATAGCCAGAAGTGAATGTCATGTGTGCCTTCGCTTCGAGGATGGCACCCTGGATGACCTGCCATGTTACAATATTTTGGTTCGTCAGTTTCACCTTCCCATCCCTGGTCAAGATGAGCTCCAAGGCATTTCGGGATCCAGAATTGTGTGTAGATGTTCATCCTCAATGATACTGACATCTGACTTGAGCTCAGTGTCAGACATGTCTAGCTCAGATTTCGCCTTCTCAACTGTACTGGGAACTTGACTGATGGCCCTACTGGATGCGTTGTAATGATGGTTGCGGTGCTGGGCTCGGAACCAGCTATTTTGATACTGATGTCAAACAGTATTTGTCTGATGCACTTCCGACTACCCCGACCCGAGTCCGACAGTCCAATCCCAACCCAACACACTTTCCAACAGTCCGACGCATGTCCGATCCTGACCTGATATTCCCGCGCATCGGACCAGTCCTCCCTATGTCCTGTCCAGTTACATCTATCCCCACTAGGTGCACATTTACTCCTTTTGACTTGCTAAGCATTGTAACAGCGTTATTACATGTTGTCTCATGGTCCGCAGTACCACATGTCCTATTACATAGGATTTCGGACCCGAAATATCGCTACTACTCTCGCCTATAGCACTCCAAATTTCTACATAGTCACTATTTAATATCTAGTACTTCCTACCTATTGCATTACTTACTTTTCCCTACTCAGTAGTAGGATGGAAGTCATTGGATATTAGTAGTACTTCATTGTATTGCGAAATATCTATCTGCTCTTCTCCTCCGAAACATTCTGACACATCCGACACTCATTTGACCGACAATCCAACACACTTCCAACACATTTCTTCACCGTCTGACACCCGACCCAACTCCGATATTTTTGGACCTGACAGTTTCCCTTCGGACAAGTAGTTCCTAGCTTCGGATTATCTCCCTATTATTGATAACTAACTATCTAAACTAATACCAAACAGCTACCCCTATAGGATCAAATGCACTTACTCTGCAAGTATAGCAGACTAGGTTGTGCTAAGATCCACCTAAATATTTGTTGTCTAGGTAGTACAATTTCTGCTGAGCCCAGCGGGAATCAGCTTTCTACAGCGTTGTCGATATTACTGAGTGATGTTGATGGGTTGATGAAGGTGCTGGCGTTGGACTCGAGGAATGATGCCAGTGAGTGGTTAGCACTTGACAATTCTTCTGATTCATCAATGATGTCGTCGGGCCACACAGGTGTCTAAAAATTGCGACATGAGATAAGAATATGGCTATTATGCAGTAGCCTTGTACCTCTGCAGCTTGTTTGCGGGCGCAAGCAGACTGTTTGTCAACCTTGTAAGAGTGTTTTGATCTCAGCATCACTTATACTTAAGTCGTGTGTTTGAAAACTTACAGGAGGACCTTGTGATTTCTTTGCCTTGGAGCCCGAAACGAAGGTTGGAATCTGTATGTATGTATCTGACTTCAAGAATCTTGAAGTAAAAAAAAAACTACTTACCTCTCCCGACAATGTTTTGCCATAGATTTTGAATCCTCAATATTGCTGTCATCAGACTTTTCTGTACTAAAATGGGTCGAATTGGTATCGCTGCGGTCTTCTGCTTCTTTGCTCTCGCTTTGTTCCAAATGCTTATTGTTGGAAGGCCTTTTGTAGGCACTGTGACACACTGACAACTTCTTCTCTAGTCGTGCTGGATATCAGTCGATTGTGAGTGGCCAGTAAAATTTTCAGGATTAATGAGCTCACTTTGTTTGTGCTTCTTCACAGCTTCTACCTCGTCATCTGTTTCCAGGACAGGTGTCAATTCACCTGTTGGTGTTAAGTACCGGGTATGATTCAAAATTTAAACAGATACTACTGACGGTTATGTTTCTTTGATTTAGGCTTTGAGCATGGCTGTGAGCCCCACAGTGGTTCATTGTGTTCTGTATCGATAATGGACTCAGTGTCAGGCAGCTGTGAGCCTTTCTTAGTATTAGTAGCCTGATGCTGCTTGCAAGACTTGGTCCGAGTCTTCTCTGGCAACCAGACTGTTCTTTTGTGAGTATTGATGCTTCCCTGGACTTTGATTGTACTGACTAGCTCTATCCACAGCCTTCTTCTTTGCGGTTCAGGCAACTGTGAACGACATCGACAGCTATGAGTGACTCGGACATGAATAAGGCCACATGTGAGTACATACTCCGACCAGGAAGATTTGAATTGCTCATAGTGTGTTAATGTGGTATATGGGTAGGAAGAAAATGGTTTTTGCAACAAGTGAGAGGAAGATAGGTTGAAGGTATGAATGCCAAATTTTCGGGGGGCACTACAGGATTTTCTGCTCAACACTGCCATAATATGCTAACTAATATACTTGTATCCAGCATTTTTCAGGGAATGGAAGTTTTTACTGCAGTGGCACTTTCATAATCCGTTGTCCAGGACACACATCTCATTTTCCTTGCACCAGACCCGAGGTCTGTCCTTGGCAGTGAATTGATGCCTCCAAGTTTGGCTTTGATTGCAATGTACACCAGGGAGTGAGGTCTGTTATTGCCCAGTGTCCTGTTATTGAGCTTTTCTAATGCACCTGACCTTGGCAGTGAATTGGTGCCTCCAAGTTTGGTGTTGATTGTGGTGTGCAGGGCCACAAGGTTTGTTATTGGCTATTGTCCTGGCGGCACCTGTCTAACATGCCTGACCTTGGCAGTGAATTGACGCTTCCAAGTTTGGCTTTGATTCTGGAGTACAGGGGCACAAGGTCTGTTATTGCCTATTGTCCTGTCTAACGCGCCTGACCTTGGCAGTGAATTGACGCCTTCAAGTTTGGCACTGACTCTGGATTGTACACTATCTATGCACGGACCACGTAACTTGTTGATCGCATGAGTCACGCAGACGCAGCCTCTCTAATTCGCTTGCAAATTGGACATCACCCTTACCCTTGTTTAAGTAAGTTAATTCTGTCATTGCTCCCAATTTTTGCTAATGTGTATGCTTGTTTACTACAGCCATTGATCACTACCACCGTGACTCGCAAGCATGGTTCAATGCTCTGGATGTATTCGTGAGTTTTCTGTCACCGGCTTGAGCCTGCATCTGGCTAAAACTGAGGATGCACATTGTAAAGCCGTGCTTGCCTCCTCTCGTCATCATGTCTGCACTTCAAGTCTGAGTCCTCCTGCTAGTCCTCCCGCACACGGCGACATAGAAACACAGGACCTGGAGGATGGCCCATTCGATGAAGATTAGATTTGGCCAGGTGACGAGCATGATGATAGCAGTAGTGACGAGGAAGATAATAGAGAGGAGTATCAGTGGGAGCCGCCAGTGCAGGAGGATGAGGACATACCCGGGGGAGAGCTACAAGCAGATGATCTGAAGGACAACAACAATGGTGGCACTGACCACCAAACACGCCACCAGATGGAACATCGAATTATTGATCAAGACAGTGTCCATGTTGTATTGTATCCTGATCGTCGAGCAGGACAGCCTATTGCCCAAGCCGAAGTTCAAAATGTGAATGCTATATATGCTTCTAATATTGATGGCACGGAAAATCCTTATGCTCCATTCCACTCTCAAATGGACTGGGAGATCACACAATGGGCAAAGTTACGTGGCCCGAGCTCAACAGCTCTTTCGGACTTGCTTAGTATTGATGGTGTAGGTTTCTTTTTTGAGAGATTTATGGACTTGGAAGTGACATATCTTCATTTGCAGGTTAGTGAACACCTCCATCTTTCTTACAAAAATGTGAGGGAGCTTAATAGGATCATCGACATACAACTTCCTGATTGCCCTAAGTTTCATCATGAACAAGTTGTTGTTGCAGGCGAAGCTTTTGATATTTTCTATCGAGACATAATCGGATGTATCAAGGATCTCTTTGGCAACCCAGACTTCGCAGACTTTCTCGTGTTTGCACCAGAACACCATTACACAGATGCTGATGAAACAGTTTGGTTGTTCAGTGACATGCATACCAGTGAATGGTGGTGGAATACACAGGTGAGCTCATGTAGTTTCTGTATCGCTTGCTTAATGAAATTAACCTTGATATTGAACAGAAGACGCTCGACAAACAGTGGCCAGGTGCAACCATTATTCCTGTTATCATTTCAACTGATAAAACACAAGTCACCATGTTCCGTAACAAAACTGCATATCCTGTCTACCTTACTATTGGTAACATTCTAAAAGAGATTCGTCAAAAACCATCCCGATGTGTGCAAATCCTTCTTGGGTATCTTCCCACAACACACCTCGAACATATTGCCAACAAAGCCTCACGTCACAGAAGTGCTGCAAACCTTTATCATGCTTGTATGGCTCATATTTTGTCACCACTGGAGAAAGCTGGTCTCAATGGTCTGGCAATGCGCAGTGGGGATGGTATCTCATGCTATTGTCACCCCCTCTTTGCTTGCTTTGTTGGTGATTATCCTGAGCAGCTCTTGGCTACTGCTGTTACAAGAACATCTAGACGCTTGGGCCCCTACCATTTTTCTCCTGATCCTCCTTGTATCAGCCCTTGCATCATACCCTCACCCCGACCTTACCCTGGTCATCCTTGTCATTCTCGCATTCCCTTTCGCTCTCTACCTGTCGCTTCAGCAGAGCCAGTACATCTGGCCGGATCCTTTCGCTGACAAAGCATACCCATGCTCCGTTCCACCACCTGACTGATCCTGTGGACAGTCCCCTTGCCCTTACCGTCTGGACGGTAACCTATGATATGATGCACGACGCATCCCCTTTGCCCTGTTTCCTTTCTTGATCTCTGACTCGATGCGCAGTCGCACATGCGACTTATACTTAGCTCCGCAGCTGCACGATCATGCCCCTGCGTGTTTCACTTCTTATTCCGATCTTTGACTCATTTTCTTATCTGCACGTTCAGAGCTCGCCCATGTCTCACCTCGAACGTGCCTTCCTTTTATGGTCATACCCTTTACCATTTACTTCTCTTGGTAGTACAAGTTATCATCCACTAATACGCTTCCTGTCCTCTATATAAACTCGCTACCATGTAACATATTCCTTAACTTGAATCTACTTGGTTCTTGACCTCCTACTCTCACCAGAGTGATCCTTCTGCCTCGCCAGCAGTCTATATTCTATCTTCTTATCTGCTCTTCGCGGATAAGCCTATAGTCTCGACCTTTACTCATCGACTTTGTCAACGAGCAAAGCCCCTGTTAACTAGTCGGACTTCTGTCCTTCTAATTAACGACGATCTTACGATTAACCTTCGGGTGTCGTAAGCCTAGGCCGATTTAGCTTATCGTCTCGCACCTGCGTAACATAAGCTACCCGATTTGGACATAGGCATCAAATCTTACTTGCTGAAGCCTCGCCAAGTAAGACCCCTAACCTTGGGCTAGCCCAAGGACGTCCTCGACCATTGACGACACACGCTCTGTTTGAGCGTCGCCAACAGATACCATCCAAGTCGTAACAACTGCAGTCAAAACTACAGAATGTCCAAAATGCAATATCCCACCTGATGAACTTGAGAGTAGCACGGCGCCCTTTGAAATACGAGACCTTGACGCTGTTCTTGATGCACTTTCCACAATCAATGTTGGAGACCTCACAGAATTCGTCCAGGCATGTCGCAACGTGCGAATCAAACCCGTTATCCACCCCTTCTGGGAATGGCTTCCCCATGTTAACATTTTTCAAGCCATTACGCCCGACATCCTCCACCAATTATATCAAGGACTTGTCAAACACCTTCTTGGTTGGCTGACACAGGCATGTGGACCAGCCAAGATTGATGCTCGATGTTGAAGACTTCCTCCAAACCATCATGTCTGTCTATTTATGAAAGGTATTACTAGTCTATCTCGTCTTAGTGGTACAGAACACGCTCAGATATGCCGTTTTCTCCTCGGTCTAATTATCGACATCCGACTTCCTGGCAATCTGAATTCAGCTTGTCTTTTGCGAGCTGTTCGTGGTCTCCTGGATTTTCTGTACCTGGCACAGTATCCATGTCACAGTTCTGAGACCTTATCTCTCCTTGACAAAGCTCTCTCCCTCTTTCATGACAACAAGCAAATATTCATTGACCTCAGTATTCAGAATAATTTCAATCTTCCTAAACTTCATGCAACTTGACACTATGCATCAATGATCCAGTTATATGGCACCATGGACAACTACAACTCAGAGTATACTGAACACCTTCATATTGACTTAGTGAAAGATGCCTACCGCACCACAAACCACAAGGATGAGTTCATGCAGATGACTCAGTGGCTTGAGCACAAGGAAAAGCTTGTGCGTCATGATAAATTCATTCAGTGGCAACTCAATACAATCCCTTCACCAACCATCCTTGGCCACCTGACTTATCTTTTTGCCGCACACAAACCTTAATGAAGCACCCAAATGTAAAAGCAGTGCTGATCCAAAGATTAATATCAGACTATGGAGCCATCTACTTTCATGAAGCGCTTGCTCGGTATATTGCACAGCAAAATCATATCAATGAGACGCTCTCCCATCGACATCTTGAAGACCTCACTGCTAATATTGTTCTGCCATTTCATTCTGTGGCTGTCCACCACAAGATCAAGTGGGTTTCCATCGACGCTCGAGGGCATGGTGATCCATGTGTCACTGTAGATAGTGTCCATGCTAAACCTGCGTGTTTCAATACTGTGCTTATCAATGATGGTACTGGTGATTCTGTGGGTATCGAAGGTGAGCTCAATATTGTCTGAGTCTTACTAGTTGGAATGGGTTGTCCTTATACAATAAATTTTCAGGCTACCGTGTTGGTCAAATTCACACCATTTTTCAATTTGAGAACAAGATATGCAGTTAATGTTCCCTCCAACACACCAACCTCCAAAACACCTCGCTTACATTGAATGGTTCACCCCATTTTCTTTGATACCAGACTCACGCCATGGTATGTACAAAATTTCTTGTTTGCTTTGTTCAGGCGAGAGAATCACTAGTATAATCCCTGTTTCAAACATCACTCGCAGTGTACACCTTCTACCGAAGTTTGAACCAGTTGTGCCTCATCACTGGACAAGCAACACTATCTTCGAAGAATGTAATACATTTTTTGTTAATTGTTATATAGATAGGTATAGTGTTGCGGCCCTTAGATAGTACTTGATAATCTTGCATAATAATTCTAAAATTATGAAGCATTAGCAGATTTATGTCTATCTAGCTCTAAAGTATAGTAGTTTATCTGCCTTATTAAAAATTTCTTTAATTCTTCCTAAGTTTGCACGGGAGGTTTTCCCTGATGTGGCATTTGAGACAAACAGCTATCATACACTCAGTGTTCGTTTATCAACCTATTGAATAGTGCAGATGTATTGGTAATACATGGATCTTGTATACTGTCGAGTAGAAATTAAAAAAAAAATGCATGCATGCCACAGGTCAGAAACATGCCCTCTCTCAGCACCAATCAATGCAGCGAGAAGGAATCATTCAATTATTGATGTCAGAAATGCTACAAAATGAAAGATTTATATCCATAGTACAGTTTCAGTACAATAAAATATGTCCAACAAACAACAATGTGCTGCTACTGGGATGCCGGACGAGGGTCTCAAAATCTGTTATCAAAGTGTTTATCAGGACAGTGAAATTAACCCAATTTAGAATTTTATTTTTGGACTCAACAAACACCGTCACTTAGATGATGATGCACTCGCACTCTGTAAATCCATATAAGGGCTGGCTCAACTGGTAAAAACTAGATATCAAGACATTCTACTGATTCACATACTGTGCACGCATCACTCATTTGATTGCTCTGTAGTGTTGCATTAGCATGGTCATCATGTATATAAATATGACTGCCAAATCAAAATTTTAATTTATGTACAAGTGTTCACTTGAGATGGTCAACAAAATTCACTAGCTCAAATGCCGGTCCTATACTGTATGAGATTGTAGCAAGTCATAGGATACACATCAGCAAACTACTTGTTTTGGATACAGGATTCTCACAGCATTACAACCGGCACAGAGCCACACAGTGTGCACAGTGTTACAGTGTACAGACTCAAAGAGTCACACAGACCTACAGAGACCCACAGGGAATTGCAGAGCACCATTAACTTATTTTATTTTTAAATCACAAGTATCAAGTAGTATTACTCATAGTTGCTACATTAATAAAACAAAGCGCAAAGTCTTATCACACTGAACATAAGTCTAAATTACACCAAATTGATATGATACATTTTGCAATATAGACTTGGAATATGATTGTATAAACACTACTCAGACAAAGCATACCCATGCTCCATTTCACCTGATGACTGATCCTGTGGACAGTCCCCTCAACCCTTATCATCCAGATGGTAACCTATGATACGATGCATGCTGCATCCCTTTGCCTTGTTTCCTTTTTTTAATCTCTGACTCAGTGTGCAGTTGCACATTGTACTTATATTTAGTTCTGCAGTTGTACAATTGTGTCTCTGCTTGTTTCACTTTCTCTTTCTGTTCTTTGACTCATTTCACTGTCACACGTTCTGGCTCATCTATGACTCACCTCGAATGTGCATCCTCCTTCGGTATCACCTTTGACCATTCCTTCTTCTGACAGTATGAGTTACCATTTACTAATACACATTGTTCCCCTCTATATAAACTCACTGTCATGTATCTAGTTTTCTAACTTGAATCTACTTGGTTCTTGACCTCCTACTTGTTGGATTTAGATTTCCTTATTGAGTTTGACTCGGAACAAGCCGATTGTGGCTTAAACCTTATTTCACCGTGATTACATACAGTAGAGATATTTTTGTATACCTTACACATTTGCAACCAATTCACCATGCTACCAACTGCCGAAAATTCTATACTACTCTCACCAGAGTGATCTCCTTCAACCTAGCCAGCTGTCTATATTCTATTTTCTTATCTGCTCATTGCAAATAAGTCTTTAGTCTCAATTTCTACTGATCAACTTCGTCGTTGAGCAGAACCCCTGTTAACTAGTCGGACTTCTGTCCTTTTATTAATGCAGATCTTATGATTAACATTTGAGTGTCATAAGCCTTGGCAGATACACTTATCGTTGAGCCCCGCTTGACATAAGCTACCCGATTTGATAACACACACTCTGTTTTAGTGTCGCCAACAGACACTATCCAAGTTCATAACAGACATCCTTAATCTTGACGACACATGCCTTGTTTAGGCATTGCCAACAGATACTATCCAAGTCTGTAACAGCTCCCAGTTATCACAGCTTACCCTAGCAATCTTACACCACAGGACTCCACACTGCACCTCCATTGTGCTGCGAGAGACAGACTCCAGCTATGGATCCTGTAGGAATTTAACTAGAATCAGAGTCTTAGAGTTGTTATCAGAACTGCTCTGTATTAAATGTATCTAGAATCAGAGTCTAGGGACATGATATGATGAGATGAGTACGGTGTGCAAGAGAAAACCAATACATACCTCAGTGTTGTTATTATAACCACTGAGGTATTATTTCGACAAGGCGAAAGTATTATAAGGAGTATATAAAGAGTCTGAAAACAGAAATAGAAAGGATGCCTATGATGAACAATGATGACATTGAATATTGACACACCCCCTTCAACAAGACATTAGAGACAAGCCTAAATGATGATGTGCAAAAGCCGGATGAGGAAGCACTTTGGTGAAGATGTTGGCAGTATTCTTATGCATGGAGACCCAGACTGGTATGAAAGTTCTTTCTTTAATGTGACACTGGATAAGATATTGAAGGTTGATGTGTTTGGTTCAGATGTGATTGGCTGCCTCCTTTTATAAAGTGATGGCACCTGCATTGTCAGTGAATGGTTGCAAGGGAAGAGGGATCATGAATTTGAGACATATAAAGAAGGACTTCAGCCAAAGTCTGTCTTGAATAGCTGCAGTGAGTGCTATGTATTTGGCCTCAGTAGACAACAAGGCCTATATTGTCTGTTTCTTGGCCAAATGAGATACTGGTCCTCCATTGAGAAACCAGACATAGCCAGAAATTGACATGCGGTCCTCAGGACACAACACCCAGTCTGAGTTGGAAAACCATGCAATGATGGGTTAATACCAGCACCCCCATAGCGTGCACACATGGTGATGGTGCCCACCAGGTAATGAAGAATGTGCTTGGCAGCCACATAATGCTTCAACTCGGGTGATGCGTTGTACTGTGAGAGTTGCATGACAGAGAGGGTGATATCGGGACAAGTATACATGGTGAGATAGAGCAATTCACCAACTAGCTTGCAGTATTCAGTGGCAAGGTTGGCAACATGAGGGAAGATGTCAGTTGGCCGTCCGAAGGGAAAATTTGGGTCCATGGAAAGCGAGATGGGATTACAACCAGTCATTGCGTGTTCATTGAGAAGGTAAAGGATATAATCCTCTTGGTGCATCCATAGTTCACGAGTCTCATGATCCCTGATGAATTGAATCCCAAGGTATTTTGTTACTGGCCTGAGATTGCTGATACCGAAATGTTCTACAATCTGACTTTTGTCTGGTCAAGAAAGTGGCAATTGTTGGACCCTGCCAGGCCATTGTCGACATGCCATGTGATGATGCAGATCACTCTCACCCCCTCACCATTGACATGGTCAAAGATAAATACGGCGTAATCTGCCTCACAGTGTAAAAACCCTAAGCGCATCAACACTTTGCAGAGCAACTCATACCAGTTGTAAGTGGCCTGCTTAAGGCCATAGAGGGAGGAGAGAAGGTGCACGACTAGAAGTGCCCCATCAGGTCCCTGATGTTCAAAGCCAGGAGTTTGATGCATGTAGACGTTCTCCTGCAGTTTGCCCCAAAGGAAGGCACATTTTGTGTCGAAACAATCAAGTTCCCAGTCATGAGCTGCTGCATAAGCTGAGAGGATACGAATGGATGTGGACTTGGCGACAAGAGTGAAGATTCAGCTGAAGTTGACACCTGGGATCTGCAAAAACCCTGTGCAACTAACCTCACCTTGAATACTGGCCCCCCCCTTTAATCCTCCTTGAACTCAAGGACTCACCTGCAATCAATAGCACAATGATCCACTGGCAGAGGTACAAGTTCATATATGTTCATTTCAGACATGAGGTTGATTTCTGATTTCTTTCCTCATTGCTGCCATCCAATGGTCAAAGTCAGGTTATTGCATGACCTCATCAAAGGTCGCAGGAGGAATCTTTAAGTTGTAGTCTTTTGCAAGTGGGTTGCAATGAGTGTCGCTGTGGACAGACAGGTTTGCTACTTTGATGGCAATCAGGTTCGCAATCACTTGTGGAAATCTGACCTCTTTTGTGTTATGGACAATGACATCAGGGTTAGTCACAGGCTCAGCAGGAAGCTCAGGCATCAGTGTGGGGACATCAATGATTGGGGCCACAGTAACATCTTTATCAGCTGTAGGTGATGGCATGTCATTTAGATGTGCCTGACAAAGTTCCCATTGACGAGCAAGTCAAGCCTTGTCTGATGCAACACAGACCTTAAAACTTTGTTCCTGCGAATTGTGACAACATGGGGAGGATCTGTTTGATTAGGCGTAGGGAGAGGTGGTGCAGGTACATTTGCAGCCTTTTGTGCAGGGGTGATGTTGTCATCCTTGTCATCACTACTAGGAAATGGATGATTAGTGAAGCTTTCATTGAAGATTACATCATGAGAATTGAAGAATGTGCCTGTGATAATATCACGACATTGCCACACCTTGACACCAGGTGGATAACTGAGAAAAATAACCTCCCATGAGTGAGGACCGAGCTTTTGCTGGAGTTCAGGGGGAATACATGCAAAACAGCATGCTCCAAAGATGTGTAAGTGAGCAACATTTGGTTGGACATTGTGTAATATCTCATATGGTGTTTTCCTCAGTGGTAAGGCATGGGACTCAGTGCAGTTAAACAGATAGCATGCGGTAAGGGCTGCTTCCCCCCAAAGACCTTGAGGCAAATGTATGAAGTCCAGCATCACATACATACGACCTTCAATTGTATGCATCACCCTCTCCACTTTTCCATTTTGTTGATGAGAATAGGGAGTGAAGTGTTGATGCTGGACACCCATTTCCTTGAGGTTTACAGTGAATGCATCACTGATGAACTCCTCACCATTATCAGAGCAAAAGACTTTCACTCGTCTCCCTGAGAAGGTCTCCCATTGGCCCATACAACATGCCACACTTCTAAGGCCTGATCCTTGGGCACGAGTAACTGAAGGTCCAGAATGTGCATATGATCATCCAGAAAGATTATAAAATAGTACTTTCCATGGGGTATGACAGTCGGTATTGGGCTGTACACACCACTATGGATGAGGTCAAGGAAAGTGTTTGCTCATTCCGTTTCGGAGGAATGAAAAGGCTGGTGTGTGTGTTTGGCAAAGACACATGATGGCATCTTTGCCAATGTGCCCAATTCATATGTGCCAGAGGTCCAGCGACAGTGGAGTATCAATAAATACTGATAATTCTGGTGTGTGGGTGATGATAGTGGGAGGTGCCATAAGTGGGATGAACTCGAAGTCAGGTGCATATAGTTTCCCTGTTGCAGGGATAGAGCCAACCGGTGTGCCTTTGTATACAAGCTCATATGTCATGTTGGACTTGAAGTTGACATCCCATCCTTTAGCATTCATGCAGCTCACAGATAAGAGATTAAGTAGGGCACCAGGCACATGAAGGCAGTTTGATAGTCATACACGAAGGCATTTATTATTAATTGTGAACCATGTGATGCAAGTTCCACGACCGGTTGTCTGTAGCACACCATGATTGGCTGTGAGTACATCCACAGGATCTTCTGTGGAGTAAGTATGGAAGAATTTGTGATCCTTAATCAGTGTCATGGTGGTACCCAAATCCAGAATGGTCTTGAAGGGGAGCATAGCCGTGCAAGCCACCTCATTGTGAACTTTTGTGATGGATGCAAATGAGAGATTGTTCATGAGACTGCTGAGATTAGTTGCAGCAGCAGCAATGACGGGTGTGTTTACAGGTGGTGTTACCGTCATTGTAGAGGTCGCGGCTGCAACATTAGGCTTAAACTCAACTTTCTCCTGTGCATCCAGGGTGCTTGCCCCTCCATACCTCCTCTCTTGCTGTAGCAATACGCATGATTGTGATCATCCTTTTTACACCCTGGTGTTGTGCAAAAGACGCTGTCTGGTTTGTGTCAGTGCTTATGAAGACCAGTGATCAAGTTGATGGTGGAGTTGGTTGAATTGGAGGAGGCTACATTAGCGTACTCAGAGCCTGGGCAGGAATGAATAGCCTTAGTGTGCACATATTGTACAGCCTCAGCTGTGTTGTGAGAGATACAGCTTTCAACTGTGATGAGTGAGGGTGTTGTTATGGACTTGGATAGTATCTGTTGGCGATGCTCAAACAGAGCATGTGTCATCAACAGTTGAGGACATCCTTGGGCTTGTCCAAGGTTAGGAGTCTTACTTGGCGAAGCTTTGGTAAGTAAGGTTTAACACCTATGTCCAAATCAGGTAGCTTATGTCAAGCAGGGCTCAACCATAAGCGTATCTGCCAAGGCTTACGACACCCAAAGGTTAATTGTAAGATCTGCATTAATAGAAGGACAGAAGTCCAACTAGTTGACAGGGGCTTTGCTCATCGACAAAGTCAATGAGTAAAGATCGAGACTAAAGACTTATTCACGATGAGCAGATAAGAAAGTATAATATAGACAGCTGGCTAGGCTGAAGGAATCACTCTTGTTAGGAGTAGGAGGTCAAGAACCAAGTAGATTCAAGTTAAGGAACTAGATACATGGTAGCGAGTTTATATAGGGGAGAGGGAGCATATTAGTGGATGATAACTCGTACTACCAGAAGAGGAACTGGTCAAAGGGCAATACTATAAAAGGAGAGCATGTTCGAGGCGAGTCATAGGTGAACTGGAACATGCAGCTTAAGAAATGAGTCAAAGAACAGAAACAGGAAGTGAAACAAGCAGGGGCACAATCGTGCAACTGCGGAGCTAAATATAAATACAATATGCGACTGCGCACCGAGTCATAGATCAAGAAATAAAATAGGGCAAAGGGGATGCAGCATGCATTGTATCATAGGTTACCGTCTGGACAGTGTAGAAAGCTGATTTCCGCTGAGCTCAGCAGAAATTGTACTACCTAGACAAGAAATATTTAGGTAGATCTTAGCATGACCTATGCTGCTATACTTGAAGAGCAAGTGTGTTCTATCCTAAAGGGATTGCTAATTGGTATTAGTAGTAAAAATGTGTCAGTAATGCAAATAACTAAATGTCCGATGGTGCGAAATGATGTCCGAAGGTACTTATCCGATGTCCGAGATTTCGGACTTTCGGACTTCACGATAATGGGTCGGAAACTTTATAACGAGTGTCGGATTGCGAGCGGTATGCGTGAGTATAACGAGTGACGGAGTATGACGGTGAACGAATGGTAATATTTGGCAATGCAACTAAGAACTACAAGAATATTCTGGGTGATCCGCAGAGTCAGGAAACGGCTCCTAACTACTGGATGATGATTGCTACGGGTCACTACAGAGTATTTAAGTAAGTACGTAGAATTTCGGAAAACTACAGGCGAAGATAGTAGCGATATATTTCAGGTCTGATGTCCTATGTAATGAGACACGAGGTGCTGTGGACATGTAATAATGTGGTACAAATGTCAGAAAACGTGCATGGGAATAACTATGCACCTAGTGAGGCTAGTTCAGATGGACAGGACACGGGATGGACAAGTGTGTGCTGTCCTGCATGATGTGAGAATCATGCATGGACATGAATACTAGGTGACCCTCAAAAGATAAAGTCTGTTAGCTTAGTCCTCAGACTAGTCAACCCATACCTTGGTTTCAAATCATGGTCCATATTTCCAGTTTTCCCCAAGTTTCATGATCTGAATATGTTTTGACGGAAAAAGTCTAATGTGAGATGGGAATCACATTTAGACCTAGTTGATGTGAGAAGGGAAATGAAGGTTAAGGTATAGCCTTGCCTTTGGCTTATTCACTTTGGCTAGAGAAAACCATAGAGAAAAGTACAAAGCCTATAAAAAAACCTATCCAAAAAGACCGTGTGTCAATTCCTGCCAACTGTCTTATTTTTGCTACCTACTTTTCTCTAGTGTTTCTTTACTTTACTTTTTCATTAGGATGCTTTGACTCACCTGACACTTCATAAAATTGTACCCATAGGGTATGATGTCATTATGATATCATAAGACTCCACAGATACTCCTGCAGGTATTCTGTTGAAAGATATTATGTCATCAAGCTCTAGATTATTCTACTCCACAATGATATCATCCATGATGTCATTTCCTTCTAGAATATTCTGCTCCACAATGACTCACTCTGACTCACTCATGGAAGGTTCTGGAATCTTTTGCTCCACAATGATGTCACTCTTGATGTCATTATGATGTCATTACTCCACATTCCAGAATGTTCTGCTCCACAATGATGTCATAGCTCCATCTTTCACTTGTATTTTATTCTTTTATTGGGTTTGACCCAATATTTTGATTGGTCCTCCTTATTTTTTATTGTTTGTGAACCTAGGTTACTTTCCCACACAAAATGTATATAAGGAGAGCCCATTCTCCCCCAAAAAAAATATGATCTCCCATTTGTAGCTATCTGCCTATCAGGTATTTCACTTGCAAAGTTAGTCCCTTTGAAGTGAGACAAGTGCAGGGAAAAGAATTCCCTTGAGATTATAAGTTTCTTACCTTAGAAACTTATTTAGTGCTATAGACCAAGCATTCTTGGTCACATATATTGTCTTTGAGACCCCTTTGTCTCATTGCTCTGTGCCCTTTGACTAAGCGATCTTAGTCATCTATCATATTGTTGAGACCACGTCTCACTAGTTGTCCCATAGACCAAGCGATCTTGGTCAAGTTATAGTCCCCTTTGTTCAAGCGATCTTGAACATATATTGTATATTTGAGACCATTTGTCTCACAGTCAAGTGTCCATAGACCAAGCAATCTTGGTCATATTTCGTATATTTGAGACCACGTCTCACTAGTTCCAGTATCCAAGTCCAGAGCCTAGAAGGAGAATTCCTAGGCAAATACATTCCAGAAACCGAATTACATGTCTAGAAGCTTATTCCTAGACAAGAGATTTGAGTTTCAATAAAGAAAAGTAAAGCTCCGGCTAGGTTGATCTTGACAAAGATTAGTTTAGCGAGCCTCCCAAGAACTCACACGTTGTCTACCACGAAATAGGAAAAGTCGTAGACTGTGTTAATCGAGGACTGGCAAGCAGTCTTATCCAAAGTGTAATTGTGGTGTCATTACATTTACACAACTTTATATAAGACCCTCGGTTATTAAGACAGTGCGAAGTGCGATCGGCTGATGCGATGTCCGAATGTCCGATGCGCCGGATCCAATATGGAGTGGCTCGGACATGTGCGAAAGTGTGTCGGACATGTGCACATATGTTTTGGGTGTTGGCGCGAGTATGGAAATACGTGGTTTTGAGCCCAACGCCGCAACCATCGCTACAATGGTAAGGGTAGAGGGGGCTGTCCACAGGATCAGTCATTGGGTGAAACGGAGCATGGGTATGCTTCATCAGAGAAAGGGTCCGGCTAGATGTACTGGCTCTGCTGAAGCAACAGGTAGAGAGCAAAGGAGAATGCAAGGATGACGAGGATAACAAGAGCAAGGTCAGGGTAAGGGTGCGATGCAAGGGCTGAAACAAGGAGAATAAGGAGAAAAATGGTAGGGGCCCAAGCGTCTAGATGTTCTTGTAACAGGTGTCCCCAGTGTCACTGTTATTACTTCCTCATGCATCCGCTGTTCAAGCATTGATTTGAACTGTTGCCATATGGGCATATGTGGAAGTCCAATTAATAAGCTGTAAATGGTGTCACTGTCATGAAGTGCAGTGCCTGAGTCATGAAGACATTCACGAAGCACAGTGTGCTGTCTGATGTAGTCAGTGGCATCAGCTGAGTCTTTCATACGTAAGGCATCGAGCCGCTGATGGAGTTGATATTGAGCACTGGTGTCTGTGCAGTTGAAATGCTCCACCAGTGAGTGTTTTCCATGCATTGTGGGCTGTGACTGTGTGTGATCGTGATACTAATGCCTCTATGGATGAGCTGATGCAATGTGTGATAAGATCCTTAGCTTTAATGTCCTCCAAGAGCCATTCATGCATTAGAGTCCACTGTAATGATGGTCACAGCACTGGGCTTGGAACTAGCCATTCTAACACTTGTGTCACATATCATTCCTTGACCTCTCTTAACCTTCTGAAGGTCGCACGCACCTGTCTGAACCATCTGCAGGCAGTCCTTTCATTCTGAGGCCTGTCCGAACCTCACAGATTACCATACCATGTCCTATCCTCATCCTTTTGACTTCCCTGGTGCATTCTCCTTTATTCTATCTATATGTTGACTACATCATAGTGCTACCACGGATAAATTCCATTGGCATCCTGTCAGGAGCTTCAGAATATGTATAAATGGTATGCCTCATGGCTTATTACATAGGTTCAGACTGGCTTATCTCACTACTAGTTTCACCTATGCATTCTGGTCTCTCATGGAAGTAGGATATAATCTCACTCGCTTACTACTGGTACTTCACTTCACTTCCCATACTTTGAGTCATAGTTAGTAGAGTCACCTCGGTATATTCGGAACTGCGCAATCGATCTCTTGTTCATTCAGAACGATTGTTTGGCTTGACCGCTGCCAATTTTGCACCATATTTATTCTCGAGTTCCAATAGATTAGTGTTGTTCCAAACTTCAGACATTTCACAAAGTCTTATATTTCCCAACACATCGACATACCGACACATTGACACATTGACATATTCTGACCCTCGGACAGCTCTCACAAACCTCGGAAGGCACTGTGCTACTTTAGACAGTACTTTCACAGCTTCAGATGGCCTTCAGTCACATTGGACAAGTATTTTGGTACTTCAGACATAGTCTCGGAACTTAGGATGAACATTAGATGTTTACTTTCCAATATCTTGTCTCCTCTCTGACTGTATAGACTTCCCTTGCATTTTATCAAGGTAGTTCTTTAGGTTGTCTCTTGGGATGAAGCACACTTGCATCTCTCAGGACTTGGGACTCACATTCCATAGAGCCCAGCCCAGGATTACTCTTTACACTGCTTAGCAGCAGTGACATTGAATGAGTCTGCAGGGACAGGCATGGAAGATGGGGTCCTGAGAATGTCCGTAGGATCAGGGTTCATATTTACATGGCACCACAGGTCTTCACATGCATGTGTGTACTGCATCTTTGTCAAGCATCCAACGTAATTTTCCAATCCTAACAATTTGGGTATGTAATCAAACTTCCCCATTGTGATACCACTGAGGAGAAGGAATATGACAAGACTGACTTATGAGAGTGGTGGAATGACACAGATAGAGATTTTGTTTAATAGTCTTTGTGAGGGTTCAGAATAAACCGGGGCTCATAACCTGTAGGAATTTGACTAGAATCAGAGTCTCAGCATTGTTATCAGAACCGCTCTGTATTAAATGTATCTAGAATCAGAGTCTAGGAACATGACATGATGAGACGAGTACAGTGTGCAAGAGAAAACCAATACATACCTCAGCATTGTTATCAGAACTGCTGAGGTATTAGTTCGACAAGGCAAAAGTATTATAAGGAGTATGTAAAGAGTCCAAAAACAGAAATAGAAAGGATGCCTATGATGAACAATGACAACATTGAATATCAACAGATCCCAGCTAAAAATGGAAGCACAACACCAATCCTCCTTAGTGCTAATGCACAGTGCATCCAAGACATCATGATCCATGCCTGGGTGAGTAGCACAAGGGCTACATCCTCAGTGTGCAAGCACAGCACATTTTGCATGGGGTAAAGTGGTTGCTGGAGGAGGATCAGATTGATGTGCTGCTAAAAGCAGCCAAAACCCTCACCCCCACATCGTCAAAGCAAAAGAAAAGGCAGCCCTACACAATCAACTTCATAATGAGCTTATTGCAGAAGTTGGACCCAAATGATTCCCTGAGACACAGCCAGACACTACCAGGTTTATATCTATTCAGATCTAACTTATGGTAGTCTAGCTCACTTATGTCTATTTTACCCTAAGTTTGCACAGGAGGCTTTCCCTGATGTTGGGAGATTCTGCCTATGTAGTCTACTCCTTTATCAAGTGGTCTGGATGCACGAGCCTCCATGCAGTACATAACACTTGTGACAAATTTACAAGTATATTTGGGGTACTATCATTGGGCCAGAGTTGCAAAATAGTAGAGAGTTGCAAAATGCCTCATAGCACATGCAACAACACATAGTAAGCTATCTACTGTTAGACATAGGACCTTCTAACATATATTCACAGTACAGTATTTTTGTTTTATAAAAATAAAGATGAGGAACGTGTATGGCTTCAAATCTATCATTCAAAGTTGCCTTTTTTCACATAGAATAGTTAGGTGAAAGCAAAAATCTCAACCAAAAAATGATTTTTTTTCTTCTACATACACTTTACAACTATGCTCACCTTCTGAGAATTTTTTCAGTGAGAACAAAGCACAGTTGCTGTTGTTATCGACAATGCAAACATTGATGTCAGAGAATGATCAAGTGTGACAACTTGGAATGGAGAACTAAATTTGAGTACAGTAGTGTACACCTTGCGAAACTTTCAGGCGCCTCAATTTTCTAAATTCACTTGCAAGGCACCATTTGCCATGTCGGAGTTCAGTTTTGCAGAACTGACGCTGTGACATGGTGTGACACCTGTGCCAACTCGCTCATGAGAAATTTTGCAACTCTCTACTGTTTCTAACATTTGCATCAGCATCCCTCTGGCAGCATCATTTGAACACATTTTGTTCTTTTGTAAACTGGCGCTCAGCTGTGACACACATAGCTATATTTTCGTATAATTATTTTGTCTTAATGTGTAGCAAAAGACGAGATATGAAAATGTGGTGGTCAGATTTTGCAACTCTGGCCCAATGATATTATTACTAAAAAAATAGTCGCACTACGAGAACAAACATTGATCAGACTTCCAAATAAGTGGCTGCAATTTGGCAATTTGAACCGTAACCCAGGCTCCTTCCCACCACTGGTGGAGAGGTAAGGGCGGTAGTCTACAAGTACGGTAGTTCAATGTTTGGTAAACCGGAAACATGCGCAAATTTTTAAAACCCAGTCCAACCTTATCCACCCAACCTCTCCACCAGTGGCTGGAACAAAATGTTTATAAACAATGTCAGCCACACTTGCATAACAAATATAAATATATAGATGTAAATAGTTGTACCCAACGAGTATTGTCCTATTTGTCATATGCCAGCTGAAGCCCCTAGTTTCTCTGCCATTCGAGAGAAGGTCCAGGATCGTTTCAACAAGCGAGCCTGCTTGTGGCAACTCAAAGTCACAGATGCATTCCTGAGAAATAACCGTGATATTATCTGTATAGTGGGGACAGGGATGGGGAAAACACTTGCCTTCTGGTTACCATTAGCACTCAATGACACAGGCATTTTGATCGTTGTGACTCCGCTCAACCAGCTAGGGGATCAGAGTGTCAGTTTCTTCAAAAAGGCCGGTATACAAAGTATTGAAATCTCTGCTGAGACGGTGAGCATGGCAAATTTCCGTGTAAGTCGGCTCTCATCTGTTGGTTATAAATGTCTAATCAATGTGTTTGCTGCAGGACATAGAAGACTCACATTACCGCGCAATCATCACCAGCCCGGAACAGCTGATGAAACCAGGTGGAGAATTCGAGAAGCTGTTGCGAAAGGTTGACTTTGCGGTGTGATTGATTGGTGTCATCTTTGACGAAGGACACTGTATCATGACCTGGGGAGAATTTCGGCCTGAGTACAAGGAATTAGAGCGATTGCGCTATGTCCTACCTTGCCAGGTACCTTTCATGATCGCATCAGCGACACTCACATCAGATGCTCTGAGAGACGTATGCAGACTCCTTCACATTCGATCAGAAAATCTCGTCACCATCCACATCTCCACCGATCGTCCAAACATCAAAATCGGAGTCCGCAAAATCAAATACTCCCTTGCATCCTCCAGTTGCTTCACCATAGTGTGCGTTACATCAAAATGAGTTCCGCTACCCTTAGAAGCAAGGTTACAAATCTCCCATGCACAGATGTCCTTTGTATTATCAGTAGCCCATTTTGCAGTACTTGAAGTTTGTTTTTTAAGAGCATTAACAATTTCTCGTCCATTCGAGAGGATGTCTTTTACAGCCAGATGAGCACTACGTTTTTCACTCGAGAGGAGCGCCAGTATAAATTCTGAAGCTGAAATGCCAACACACTGCAGGGTTTCAAGAACATCGTCCACCAGGTCAGATAATGACATATTGATATATATATATATATATTTGTTAGCGATACGATGTATTTTTTTGCGTATTTTTCAACTCCGCCGTCTCTTTCTGGGTTTTGCAAGTGTGGCTGACGTTGTTTATACAGTGATCAACCGCTCCTTTGGACGGTGAAATAAAGAAACAAGTGTGATAGTATGAAATCTTCAATATAGAAAAAATGGTCTGGTACGTCTGACAGAGCAGGGTTTTATCTACTTTCTACCAAGTTTTTGAAATATCCTGAGTCCTGTGTAGTTTGCAGCACTTCACGCAGTTGAGCAAGTCATTTTCTTGCCTTCCCAATTCGTTTGTACAGTCGGTGTGACAACCCTGTTACAACATGTCACACATGTCACATTTCGCTGTTCATCCTACTCGTCGTCATCCTCGTACTCGCTGTCATCACCAATCGACCCTTCGTGAATGTCAATGAACTCTCCTTGATCTTGCCCATCCTCCTCGTCAACAATTCCACCATTTCTCCTTGGATTCTTTGGCTTAGGACAAGGCTTCTCGAGTGGTCCACGGACAGGCTTCTTCCATCGTGGTTTTTGCTTTTCTTGCTTTGCCAACACTTGCTCGGCCTCCCACTCTTTAACAGCTACCTTCCACTGCTCGGTCTTGGCTTTGTTTCGATTTTTTCTTGCCTCATCCTCTTGAATCCACACTGTCATCTCTTGTGTTCGTGCCTCCCATGCTGCTTTCCTTGTTTCCTTCTCGGCTGCTTTTGCCTGTTGATGCTCCTGGTATTGCACGACTTTCTCGAAGACCTCGTCACTGGTAAGTAGCCTCGGCATACCATCTCCATTCAACTTGATGTTGTCACTGTCCTGACAGCCTTTCTTCTCTTGTGTCTCAAGATGACGGCGAACTCGATCGCAGTAGCGTCCCTGGAGAATTACAGTCGCTTGAAGGGCGCTTACATGCTCTTTGAGCATTGTGACCTGCTTGGTGAGATTTTTGACTGTCTCCTCGAGCTTTTTCTCCCTCGTTGACTTTGAGGACATGTTGCAGTGCAACCTTGATTTTGGCGTGCGTTTAACGGGCGAGATTATTGCTAGTGGCATGGTAGGCAACCTTGAACTTGATTTGATAGGAGATGATGATATAAGGAATCGAGCAGATGTTTCTTCAAGTCGTGCGAAGACATTGTGAATGGTTCTACCACTAATCTGAAAAGGATTACTTTTCTTGTAAGTGTTCTCATCTGCTGATTGATAAATTATTGATCCAATCTTCAGAACGCAAACAGTGAGAATTACCTGGAGTTGTCTCGTCATTACTACTACCATCTTCTTCGGCAATTGTAGCAAGTTGCATACCACAATGTCGAGTTTCTGCCCTGGGTTGCAGGTCTCTAAACAGCTCCAAAACAGCTTGAACGGGTGATTCGGGAGTGATTGGGAGGTGTCCCTGGTTAGATGATTCACGAGCGGGAGCCAACATCTCATCTGTGACAACTTTAGGATTGAAAGGCCATACACCGGTTTTTCGAAACGCAGATTTAATGGTCTCTGGCATGAGTGCACGAACATGGGCAGCACCATAGATAGCAAGGAAGTTGCTCTTCGTAACTTTCTCTCCTTTCTCGCACTCCCATTTGTCTCGTTCTTCTGACCAACACTGTTTAAGGACACCGAACACTGCAACATCTAGGCCCTGATAGATGTGGGTACTGTGTGCAGGATAGCAAAGGACATGAATTCGGTGCTGTCGAGCATACTCCAGGAATGCACGAGTGTAGTGAGAATTATGCCCATCGACGAGAAGTAGGCGAGCACGACCATTCGCTTTTTCACGTGTTTGCTCATCGAATTGCTTGATCCAGAGTGCACCAATCTCGCCGTCAGTCCAACCCTTCTTTGAATAACCAATACTACGAGGAACCATGTTATAGGTGTGATCATGACATAAGATGACACATGACTCACGATGCTTTGAGTGGATTTTTTTCGTTCCACTTTGATTGATATGCCTTCCCCTTGAAGATCACTGCGGGTGTGATTGTACTCCCATCTGCGCAGATTGTGACCAAAACGGTAATATTTTCACGATTGCCATTTCGCTGCTGATACTGGACTTGTTTTCCAGCTCCACCGAGAGCTCGTTCTTGCGAGCTTCCACCTCCTGGTTGAATTCCAGTCTCATCAACACCCCAAATACACTCTGGTGCCATGGGCTCGCCGTTGTCACCACTCTCCAGGACATCCTTCAACATTTTGAACCATGCATTGTTAGTTGTTGGGTTCACGGCACGGCCACGAGCACCATCAAGTGAATGTGCTCGGTAAGCTCATAGATGGTCGGAGTGCTTCTCAACGAAACACTGAGTCCAGTTTTTTCCCACTCCAGACTCTGGGAAGGCATCTCCAAGTCGAGCTCGACAGATTTCATCAACATGTTCCTTGAGACGCTTGTGGCTAAGCGGAAAGCCACGTCTAGCCATTTCGACGATGTATTCAAGAACTTTGTCTGTTTCTGTGGGTGTGAGCCAGCTTTTTGTGGAGCTATTGAATTCACTAAGTCAAATCCCTCCCTTGGCGAGATTTGCCAGAGTATTATGATTTAAACTGATTAATTGTCCCGTTTCTTTGAGGTATGCCTTCTGAACATCCATACACACTTTACGAAGGCCTTGTTTCTTCTCCGAGCTTGGTTTTGCAAGTTCAGCTTGGTACTTCGCCACAGCACAAGCCATGACTTTCTCTTTCTCCTCACGTGAGACCTGTGTAGTGGTGCCGAAGTCCGGTTCGGTTCGGTTCTTAGGCCTCTAAATGCGAACGCCGAACTGGACCATCGGTCGCGTTCAGGCAAGGAGGACGAACGCTGGACTGGACGCTGATGAACGCGTTCACAAGCATTCAGTTCGAGTTCAGAATGCGTTCGAACGCTTGAACGCTACATATAAATTGACAAAAATTGCAAGAAATACATGAACAGTAAATGAGTAGCTAAATTTCGTCCATGGCAGAGTGTTCGTGAGCAGCAGCAAACTCAGCTTGAACCATTGCGGAAATATGGCCTTGACGGTACCCACTTTTCAACAGCTGTAGGGCCTCAAATGTTGTTGGCAACAACCGATTATGGCGCGTGGTCCCAGTGATGCCACCACTCGAAAACGCTCGTTCAGATGCGACAGCAGAGCCTTGAATAGCGAGGTAATCCTTTGCAATGCGAGAGATGGTGGGATATTGAATGGAATGGTGCTAAAGGCATTTTAAGTCAACTTGCAAGGAAACACGATGCAAAAAAACTCACACCCCACCACGCCACTATATTCTCAACATCTTCTAATGGGGCAGCAAGGTACTCGTCGAGCTCCTGGTGAGGTCTTCAATTTGCGGTGTCATTTGCGACACAAGTTTTGACAGCATCGCGCATCCAGCTATGGCTGTATGACCCCTGGCGAGCAAGCAAGGAAGGAGCCACAGCAGCTGGCTCTGCAGTGGCAGGCGAGACATTGCAATGATAATATTTGTCGAAAACCTTCCGCAAGCTTCTCATGCCCTCGTCAAAGTTGCGAGGCTCCCATTTACCCTTCGCGTATGCCACCTTATAGTTAGGATTGAGCGCTACATTGTACATTAGATAGGGCATCATAATAAATAAAATACATACCGAGGCAAACGAAATAAACATCAGTTTCGTCGATTTTGTGGTACCATTTGCGAATATTGTCGAGGCCAGAGTTGATCGCGGATGAAAAGTCGTCAAACTTTGACAAACCAGCCATGTTTTGCCAAGTTTGTTGGAGATACTCGAGGACTGGAATCGCTCGCCATACGGTAGGTTCGTGAGTCGCCGAAAATGATTGTTGAGCATTGGCAGGTTCCTGGTTATACAGTAGGTTAATACAACATTTGAGACTCGACTGGACACTTGCACATACCTGAAGCACGTCATGCATCAGTTCCAACTTCTTCCATTCTTCGGCTGAAAGCTTGAACACTCCATACGACTTGCCCTGCAACTTTGGGACTTCGTCACTGTCATCCACCAGTTGTATGAATCTATTCACCCCCTGCCAGCAGATAAAATTGAGTTAGTATTGTGCATAGGGATGGTAATAGAAACCAACTGACTTTGCGTAGCTTAAGGGTGCGCTCCAACATACCAAAGAGCGAGGCCCATCGCGTGCAAATCCATTTCAAAAGCTCCAGCTTCGGCTCATTGACCTCGACACAGCACTGTTGGAAGAAGGTGCGTGCTTGGGGAGATTTCCGAATCTAAAAAAAGGGTTCATTAAATAGTGTTAGTCAGACGAGGGTACACACATACCTGCGTAACAAGCGCAAGGGCTTTTCCTGCAGTGTCGGCAACCTCGAAATCAGTTGATTCTTTGTCTTCGTCTTCATCGGCCATGTTCTTGAGGAGAACGCTTGCTGGTGTAGGTGCGACCTCCTCGACAAAGTGTTTGGCGGCTAAGTGCAAGGCATGCTCCATACAGCTGAATAGACATCAACATATATAGATCACGATATTAAATAGTTCACTTACCACACGCGGTGCTCACCAGCAATCCATTTCTTGCCGGAAGGGTCGATAGCAAGAGCAACGGTCTGAATTGCTGTGTTGTTATTTGTAGCATTGTCAGCTGTAAACCATCCAACCTTAGTGCGGATGCCATAGTTATTGATAGTTTGAATCAGGATTCTTCCGATGTTGCTCCCACTGTGATTGCCGTTGATGATGGTGAATGCAAGTTGCTCTGTCTTCAATTCCCACTCGTGAGGTTTCCCGGCTGGGGAGTCAATGTAATGTGCGGTGACGGAGAGGAAAGGTACACCAGGTTCGGATGTCCATGAGTCGAACGTGATCGAAATTTTGCTATCAACTTCCTTAAGCTTCTCCTTCACACATTGAACAGCAAGCTGCGCCCGTTCAAGAATTTCGTCTCGAGTTTTTGTGCGATGAGGAATGTCCCTGTCTGAAAGGGAAGGCCGGAGGTATTGAAGCAGCCGACGAAAGGGTCCCTTGTCAACGAGTTGGAACGCCTATCTATGGCATGAATATCCTAAGTCACAATTACAAAAAAAAAAACACTCACCTCGTCCTCAGACACGATAAGCTCGACAATGTAATCCATTAGACCGGTCTTGGTGAATTCAGGAATTTTAGCCGTAAGGGAGGCATCTAATGTTTGCTGCGCTTCGTCAGTTGCTTTGCAGTTAGGAGGTATCGCCCGATCATGCATCTTGATACCTCGTTCGTTGCAGCAGTTGCGGTATATTGGAAAGTGACACTTCGCGTTTCGAGCGATATGGGTGCGGCGAGTCGAAACACTGCCTTTGAAAAAGCAGTGATTGGTGGGTACATCATTGGCTCTTAAATTGACATTAGTTATGCGTGTGACATTCAAAGTAAAAGTAAAAATGTACCTGCAGATCTCGCACCACCAGCCATCTTCGGGTTCTTGGGTGTGCGGATTGATGTGTCCCTTCTCCTGAGTAAATACTGCCTTCAAATCCCCACTGCGCTCCTCTTTCTTCTTATGCTTGCGATCCTCACGATCCTTGTCTCCAAATACCTTGGTCCGCTCGTAAGCTTCTTCGGCCTCTTCTTCATCATCTGAGCAATCTTCTAGTGCAGGGGGTTCGTCGTCATTGTCATCGTGGGACCCACATTGCACTCGCTTGGGTGTGGGCTGTCCTTGGGGAGGCACTGGAGCCACTCGTTTAGCAGCTTTGGCTGGAGCTGTGTTGCCAGCATTGCAGATTTTTTCTGTCGGTTTAACGGCTCGGCCTGAGCGAGACACAAAGGCAGTTAGCTTGCCATTGGATGCAGGAGGCGGAGGTGGAGCAAGCATGGGGGTGTCATCGTCGGGATCATTGTACCAATCGATGGCGCTAGCGTCTTTGAGTTGGCCATTGGATCCAAGTGCGCAAGACATTCTCGCAGCCAGAAGGGTGAATATTGTACCTGTAGTAGCTCATTTATACCAAAATTTGTGGTTAGAGATTAGAAAAATGCGATGCACCTTGAACATATTGTTGCCATGCAATGACTGCAACAGTTGATTGATGTTGAAGCAAAAGCAAGTACCTGAACGAGCATCCCAAAGATATGTTCTGAACATAGATTAAATTATAATCCTAATAACGATTAACATAGGGCTTACCAAAACGTTGAATAGATCACAGAGGAAGTCAGACGTCACTAACAGAAATGCATTCAGTCTTTTGGTCGTGAAGTAAGAGCCATTCTGGAGATCAATGCTCCCAGAACTGCCAATGGCCATATGAGTTTGTTGCCAGGTGATCAGAAAAAATATTAGGATAGATGGATAGCAATAAGCTGAGGACCTCAAGCGGATCATAGACAGAAGGAAAGAACCATTCGAATGTGTTCGAACGGGTCCAGACGGGTTCACAAATCTGAGGCATCAGCCGAACGCTGAACCTAATAATAGGTTCGGTTCTTACCGTAGGCTGAACCTCGGACCGAACGGACAGTCCGGTTCGGAAGGGTTCGTGTTCAAACCGAAGTTCCGAACCGGACTCTGGCATCACTAGACCTGTGCCTTCTTCGTCAACGATTTTGGCCTCCCAACCATGTTGAAAGACTATATGGGTAGTTTGAAGGTATATGTTGAATACTGGCAGTGAACGAAGGATGTTGAGCAAGACCGAGTCAAAAAGGCACCTCGTGTCCAAGCTTAGTCTGGGTAACAAACTCGTTCCATCACTCGTGGATCACAACATGTAGTAGCACCAATGAAACTTTGACTAAAATCATCTCTACTACTTCCAATACACTTGTAATGTTTGCAGATGAAGTGGAAGGGGTGAAACTGGGTGCAATGATGAGTTTTCGATGCTCGTGAAATTCTAACATGTTGCTCTGGAGTGATGTTTTGCAGATTCCGATGATTTTCTAAATTTGAAGACTATTTTTTGGTACCATTAGATAGCAGAACATATTCTGAATATTATGATATAGTTTTTGCAAGGACTTGATGAAGAACTCATCGAGGAAATTTAATTGTACAGTAGAGTGGTTGTGTACAAAGGACCGTGGGATCACTGTAAACGTTTTGTTCCAGCCGCTGGTGGAGAGGTTGGGTGGATAAGGTTGGGCTGGGTTTTAAACATTTGCGCGTGTTTCCGGTTTACTAAACATTGAACTACCGTACTCGTAGACAGTGGTGGGAAGGAGCCTGACCGTAACCTATCGTCATGCAAAATGGGAAACGCTTGCTGGCAGTCAGTGCTGGCCACAGAATAGTCCTTCAGACTATCTCACGCCAACGTTTTGGATGATTTGGATGATTTTTTTTTCGCACGGCGACATCCGAGTCCTGAGCAGCGGGTGACAATTGCAAGTCATATTATGGGACACTAACACCAGAGGAAAGGCGATTCTCTCTCATGCAAAATCCCGGTTGCATCCGATTTTCTCCAACTGGTCGACTCGACGCTGCTGATAAAGATATTTAAATAATGGGAATTGAACCAAACGGTCCCCCAATAGCGCCTATCTCGGCAGCATCAACAATAGTGTCCTCTGCTCTTGGGATACTCATACCTCCATCCCTGAAGTCTGGACTATCATCACAGATTTATCTCGAACCCAGTTTGTACTGGTATCTAGCGACGACAAGGTTTACTTGTGGAAGGCACAGAAGTTGCTCGATATTAGTCCTCCTACTAGTATGGGGTTCGGATTGCATTCTCGGTCAATGTACGTTCTGTAACCAGCAGCAGCTATGACACGATAATCTCGCGTTGGATGACGATGCCAGAGCATATTCTCACAGCAACGTGCGATGAAAGGATGGAAGGCCGATCCTTCGTGAGGCAAAAATAATTGCGCTTTATGACCTTCATATGTGGATTCTGACGCTCAAACAGGATTTACTAGGTCTTGCGTACAAGCCATTCGCTCTAAACTGTCCCGCTGACACAGAAAGCCCTTCACAATCTCGCTTGCTCAATGTCAGCGAGTCGTCATCCGAAAAGACGAGCAAAGGAATGGAATATTCATTGAAACGATGGGTGTCGCAATGTTGGTCACATTTGAATTTTATTTCATGCATGGTTGACGTGGAAACTCCTCACATGTTACCGAACGTTGGCTACGTCAAGTATCGCACGATGTATAGTGTCGGTACGATACCTTGAAAATATCGACAACTCGTAATTCAAGTCCACTGGCCTTGACTTGAAAATGTCACACTTCTTCAGGGAAGCCGACTGAGCGGACCTACTGAAATGTATAAAAACCCTCTTGGATTTTCAGTGTAGTGCACGAACAAAGTATTCACTTCTACTATCCCTCAACATGCAGCTCTCTGTGCTCTTTAGTGCGCTTATATCTTTCGTCATCCTCGCTGCGGCGTCACCCACGCCAGGAGCCATCTCGAAACGTTCCTGTGAGTATCCATGATCATCAGCAGTATCATCCTATCCACTCAGATGTCACAATATATCACTCAGCCAAGCGAGAGAACCTTGACATCAATTTTCAACGTGATCTCCTAGAAGAGACTAAGAAGCGCGAGCCCGAGTCAGAGTACGCATCTGCTGCTACGAGAAAGGAGCTCAATAACGGTCATTCTGAATACGAAGTTGCTGCAAAGAGGAAGGAGCTCTTGGACGGTCAGGAAGACTACGACGCCGTAGATAAGAGGGAGGAGCTCTTGGACGGTCAGGAAGACTACGACGCCGTAGATAAGAGAGAGGAGCTCTTGGATGGTCAGGAAGACTACGATACCGTAGATTGATGCGACGGTTGGTATGGCTGTCTTGGAATTCCCGTTCAAACTATCACGGGCACTGTCGTCAGATATTTGTCTTCTCACTGATTCTCTGCAGTTTCTGGCTGGTAGTATTCGTCTAGCAAAGTTCAAACCTATTTCAAGTCACTGAGCAGAACGGCAGCATTTTTTCAACAGCTTGCAAATGCTTGCGACATACGTATGTCTGGTAGCATAGCGTCACAACAGGTTCGTTCCCGCTTCTCAGCTCCAACCCTCGAGTAGAATGGCTGTGGATTAGCACGTGGGTTGGTACAAAGTGTATCATAAACGTCAGGTTATTCGTCGAGTCACTTCAAGTTCACCTACACACTCCTGTGGGTCACCAGTCTTGTTCAAATCGAGTCGTTCCTGCGGTTGTATATTCTTGTCATGGCCTTCCACCAAGGAAGAAAACATGACCTCAATACTGATTCTATCTTCAAGACCCAGAGACAGCATTTGATTTCTAGCAGATTCTCAGCGACCTCGTGAAGTGGTAAATTTTTGCGGTGATTTGCACGTGCCGTTGTTGAACCATCAAATCATCATATCTTCCTTGACTGTCCGGGTAATGTATCATTGGCTCAGGTTCTCACTTGGTGCATGTGGTAAATTCAGTGTTATCTTTTGGTGCGGTATCTTTCTGACTTGTTTCTGATCCAGTTCTACTCGCGGATGGGACTTCTCAAAATGCCTTCGAGTTCATTGTGCGGCACATTGCGTGTCATGACAAACGCCAAGCATACGACGACGATCCCAGCCATGCGATCAATTTGATGATTTGTATGACAAAGTTTATGTTATTGTCAGATCACTTATCGAGGCTTAGAGTTCCATCTGCTTAACTGCGTGCATAAGTATTTCCTCTCGGTGAATACTTACTAGTAACTTCGGCCGAGTCCCACAAAGACTGTTTCGGACCTATACCTGCAACAGCGGCTTTTGCCTACGGTGGTTCATGGACGGTCATCGTCGTCATCAATGTCACTGGCGATCTCACTTCGCTCATTCTCTGTCTGAAAGGTAACGTGCTCTGTCGTCCTTTCAGCAAGGGTGTTAACATTGCCCTCTAGTTCGACACTTGTTACAGCGTTTAACTTTCATACTTGACTCTAAGGTCGGTAGCAGGGCTACTCGCACGGACTATGCCGCTTACGAGCGAGCAGACTGATGTTTCCGGTCAGTGAGAACCACCCCACTGAAGTCAAAGGGAACTCAAGAGAGTTGGGAAGCGCAGCCGTGAGGCCGGGGCCTCCGCCGGAGGTTAGCGCCAATAAGATTTCCAAACGCATCACTTTCTTTGAAGTTCTTGATACTCGCGGGCGCGCGAACATAGGTTGTTATGAGGTGTTATATGATTTAGGTGGCCACTGTCGAGTATGGTAAGCCAGACCACTTGACAAGGGAGCAAAGATATTATTTACAAGAGAAGGCAAAGGGAAATTTAAACAACGTATGAACTTGAGGTAGCAGCACAAAGTAATGCATCCTGCGCAAGTACCAAATACCAGCCTAGTAGTTAGATTTCAAGGGAATCCCAAGACTTTGCAACGAGTAAGGATCAGATACTCAGTAAGTAGAGTGCCCGTGACAGTTTGAACGGAAAATACTTCCAAGACAGCCATGCCAACCATCGCATCAAGGCACAACTGCGTAATCAATGATCATCCTGACTGTCCTCGAGCTCCTTTCTCTTTGCAGCAGGTGCGTAGTCCTCGAGCTCCTTTCTCTTTGCAGCAGGTGCGTAGTCCTCGAGCTCCTCCCTCTTTGCAGCAGGTGCGTAGTCCTCGAGCTCCTTTCTCTTTGCAGCAGGTGCGTAGTCCTCGAGCTCCTCCCTCTTTGCAGCAGGTGCGTAGTCCTCGAGCTCCTTTCTCTTTGCAGCAGGTGCGTAGTCCTCGAGCTCCTTTCTCTTTGCAGCAGGTGCGTAGTCCTCAAGCTCCTTCCTCTTTGCAGCAGGTGCGTAGTCCTCGAGCTCCTCCCTCTTTGCAGCAGGTGCGTAGTCCTCGAGCTCCTTTCTCTTTGCAGCAGGTGCGTAGTCCTCAAGCTCCTTCCTCTTTGCAGCAGGTGCGTAGTCCTCGAGCTCCTCCCTCTTTGCAGCAGGTGCGTAGTCCTCGAGCTCCTTTCTCTTTGCAGCAGGTGCGTAGTCCTCGAGCTCCTCCCTCTTTGCAGCAGGTGCGTAGTCCTCGAGCTCCTTCCTCTTTGCAGCAGGTGCGTAGTCATTCTCTGACTCGGGCTCGCGCTTCCCTGGGCCGCTGCCTGAACCGCCTCCGGTGTATCCAATATATCCCACGAGGTCGGTCTCAAGCTCCTCGCGCTTCTTAGTCTCTTCTAGGAGATCACGTTGAAAATTGATGTCAAGGTTCTCTCGCTTGGCTGAGTGATACATTGTGGCATCTGAGTGGATAGGATGATACTGCTGATGATCATGGATACTCACAGGAACGTTTCGAGATGGCTCCTGGCGTGGGTGACGCCGCAGCGAGGATGACGAAAGATATAAGCGCACTAAAGAGCACAGAGAACTGCATGTTGAGGGATAGTAGAAGTGAATACTTTGTTCGTGCACTACACTGAAAATCCAAGAGGGTTTTATACATTTCGGTAGGTCCGCTCAGTCGGCTCTTCCCTAAACAAGTGTGACATTTTCAGGTCAGGGCCAGTGGACTTGGATTACGAGTTGTCGATATTTTCAAGGTATCGTACCGACACTATACATCGTGCGATACTTGACGTGGCCAACGTTCGGTAACATGTGAGGAGCTTCCACGTCAACAATACATGAAATAAAATTCAAATGTGACCAAGATTGTGGCACCCACCATTTCAATGAATATTCCATTTCTTTGCTCTTCTTTTCGGATGACGACTCGCTGACATTGAGCAAGCGAGATTGTGAAGGGCTTTCTGTGTCAGCGGGACAGTTTAGAGCGAATGGCTTGTACGCAAGACCTAGTAAATCCTGTTTGAGCGTCAGAAATATGAAGGTCATAAAGCGCAATTATTGCTGCCTCACGAAGGATCGGCCTTCCATCCTTTCATCGCACGTTCTTGTGAGAATGTGCTCTGGCATCTCATCTAACGTGAGATTGTCGTGTCATAGCTGCTGCTGATTACAGAACGTTTATTGGCCGAGAACGCAACCTGAAGCCCATAGGAGGAGTAATATCGAGCGGCTTCTGTGCCTTTAACAAGTAAACCTTGTCGTCGCTAGATACCAGGACAAACTGGGTTTGAGATAAATTTGTGATGATAGTCCAGACTTCAGAGATGGAGATATCCCAAGAGCAGAGGACACTATTGTTGATGCCTGCCGAGATAGCCTCAGATATACGCTATCGGGGGACCATTTGGTTCAAGTCCCATTATTTAAATATCTTTATCAGCAGCGTCACGGTAGAGTCAATCAGTTGGAGAAAATCGGATGCAATGAATTTTGCACGAGAGAATCGCCTTTCCTCTGGTGTTAGTATCCCATAATATGACTTGTCACCCAGGACCCGCTGCTCAGGACTCAGATGTCGCCGCATCAAAAAAATCATCCAAAACGTTGGTGTGAGATAGTCTGAAGGACTTACGATTGAAAGTTCTGTCGCCAGCACTGACTGCCAGCAAGCGTTCCCCATTTTGCATGATCATGGCAATGCGGTAACTGTAACATTGGTCAGCCCGCCGCCCGCGCATAACCGTTACACCAAAAGGTGAGATACTGAAAGCTAAGCTTTTAGTATCAGCGACGGTATACCGTATAGATGGGAACTCAGGTAAGCCGGCGTGCTTACAGTAACTTAACCCCCTTCACTTCCCACTTCAATTCTGTGCTATCCTCAAGCCTCGATTGTATTATCGTCAGACCCATGTTCAAGTTATTCTCTTGCTGACTGTAAAAATTGCCGAGAATGTGATTTTTTTTCATGACCTTCAAACGTCTTGATGACATTTCGAATGACTTAGGTAGTTCCTTGTTGACTTTCATGCTGCTGATTTTTCTACAAAAGCATGTCCTTGCTGGATTCCTCGTCGGCTACGCCTGTGGGACTTGGAAGTTGGAGGAGGCAAAGAGTAGGATGTGAGTAGCCTACAGGCCTGTTGAAAGTGTGTTGGTGGTGTGGGGAGTCGCCCGAGTCGATGAGTCAGCAAGTGTCATGTAAGACGTTGCGTATGAAGGAAAAAGGGGACTTGGTCCCCTCGACGTCGATAACCCATTGTAGACCACAACAAACAAATAGTCATTCGTCTTATAATATCCAAAGCCCAAGACGCCACAAACGCATTGAACAAGCGGAAACGATATAACCAGAAAAGATAG